CTCTATTTCAATTTAGACTTCGAAAGATAGATAGAAAAGAGTTTGTTTTTTAAAATTTATGGGGAAATTTTGGGACGTTTTCTATTTTTTTCGTAGAAATCAACCAGAAATGTGTTTTTTTATACATGAAAAAGTTTGGGAAAACCAAAAAACAACGGGAAATTAAAAAATATTTTTTTTGGTGAAACTTTCCCTATTTTTTTGGGCTATTTGAAAAATTTTAAATGAAATAAAAAAGCTTTAAACGTTTGGGTTGCCCTTTTCGAAATTTGTCGACCAAAAAGAGATAAACCTTTGATCTGGTCGTTTCTTCCCGCAGGTTCTCGTTTGTTCAGCTTTGAGTTTGTTTTCTGTTGGGGGACCTTATATCTTATTATGTAAAATAGCCAATAAAATTTTAAAAATTTTTTTTTTTTCCAAGCCCCGGTGGTTTAAACTTAGGGTTTTAACCCCCGGGCTTATGGTTTTAAGTCCAAAAAGGGCATAATTTTAAAATTGGGAAAAACACCTATGAAGGGGGAATTTGGGGTTTAAAAAAAGGTTTAATTTTTCAGTTTTTTTAATGGGGGTTCATTTTGGTTTTTTAAATGCACCGCTTTTTTTTTCCCTTTCCGAAATTTTATTTTCATTAGGGATTATTAATATTCCGAAAAAGTTGCAATTGCCCATTATCAGAAAAATTTAACTAATTATCTTGAATTACATTGAAAATGGCCCCTCCCCCTTACTAAAACTGACATGAAAATTTATTGATAGGTTTTAAGAATTCAATGGTTAATTCTTTTTTTTATATTTGGGAATATACACATGTATGTAGTCTAAAGCCGGGCCAGCCAAAGCCCTGGGTCTTCTTTTACAGACTTCTATTATTTCAACCCTTGTCTCATTACTTTTAGATTTAAAACTTGCTAATTTTTAAAAAAAGAATATTGAAGCTTTTTTTTAACATATCCAAGAGAAAGCTATGTGACATACACAGAAATCTTTATCAGCGATAACATAAATACTACAAGTTCACATTTTTGTGAATTTTCTTAGTACATTGTTCTGATTTTTAAAAGTAAATTTTTAAATACTTATAAAACATGATTTGCCTTTTATGTTAGGCCCTACACTAAGTCTTTCTTTGTATTTTCTGACATATTTGACTCAAGAAAAATTTAAACTAATATGCATGCCCTGCCCTTGTTTATTGTGTGGTTAAAAATGTTACAAAGAATCAAAAGAAATGGACAAAAAATGTGAAAAAAGATTAAGATTTAGAATTATTGTCAGTTAAAGATAAAAATGTAAACACTATTTTGATAAACATATGAAAACATCAGGCTTATGTGGCCTTAAATACAAACGGCAACATTCAAACAATTTGCAAAAACAGATTTTATTTTCAGTGCCTGCTATATTTACTTAAACTTGTTGAAGATGAAAATTCCTTGTTCTTGATTGCATACAAATGCATTAACAACTATCCCAGTCCATAAAGATTTCCAAAACGATTTTAAATAAAGTTTAAATTAAAACTTATTTTTATTTTTATTTTAAAAAACCAAAATCATCAAAGGGCTGAAAATAGCTTTTTGGGTAAAATATTTCATGATATTTGATATTGGTTCAATTGTTAATTACTATATAAAAAAAGTGCCATAACAGCTACCTCTACAGTGTGTGGTACATGACTTCACAACTAATAAGATTGGCCCCCATTTGGCTAGCTTGCTGCCATTTTAAAAAAAAAAAGCTTCCTTAAATAGCAATTTTCATAAATATTAAACAATACAGAATCACTTTGATGTGTTAAATACTCGAATGATTCCCAAAAATTTTTAAGGGACTGAATTTTTTATATTTGGGAAATACCTGTAATGATTATAATAGCAATAATGATATAAAATTTTCAACTATTTTCAGACTCTGGGAAGAGCGTGTGAAAAGTTATGATAATGAGTAATTAGAAGGCTCCAGAGGAAGAGGGCGAGTTTTGATGTTCTCAATGATGAGACATTCGGAAATTTGATGATGGTTTTGGGTGTTCACTAGTTTTAGTCATTTTTGTAAAAAATTTTAAAAAGTTATAATTTTGAATTTCAGGAAAGCAATTAGGCAATTGATTATGATTTGGAGATTTTGGAATATCTTTTTTTATTTTGCTGCACAAAATACCTCATTGTATTGTTTTATTACCTAAAACTGAAGTTTAAAATGAAATATTGTAATTATGGGGGTTATTTGATACCCTTTCTGTTGTCAGGTTTATATACAAAGTCCTAAAACAATTGTCCCATTTGTAAAGGGTTTATTTTCAAATGCTTTTAGAATTGAAAAGCCCAAAAGGAATATCTGGTTAGAAAATCAAAGGTTTTCAATGCTTACATTTAAAAGGCTTTTAGAGCAAGAATTGAATTTCTTCATGGAAAATTTTATTATTTTGACTAAATACAGACGGTCGTTTCGTTCATAAGATTATGGCAAAACAACTAATTGTTTGTCTGACATTTTTAGATGATTTTGATTTTTTGGGAAGAAACAGACTGAGAAAATTTTTGCTGAAAGTATACCCGACCCGGAGCATGCCAGCCACCAGCATAATGACTCAGGCTTCAATACTGCAGAAAAAATCCTACAGGACACAAGGAGGTCAGTTTAACAATTATAATTTTTTTCTTTGTATTTTGCAAGGTCAAATCATTTAAATTATTTTGGGAAAAGGTTTTTGGCAAGTAAAAAGGGCTTTTTCTTTAAAAAACCAAATCCGGACGGGAAAAATTTAAAACCCTGGGTTTAAAAATCAACCACTTTTTGTTATTGCTTTGAAATTGCATATGTTATGATAACTGATTTTTTTTAATTTGAATATTTGAAAGGGGGTTATGGAGAAAAAACAGTTTTTAAAACCATTTGATGGGGGATAAATAAATGATCTGATCCCGCTATACTCAAAGCCCAAACCCTATCCCAAAGGTTTTATATTTTCCTCATATCTATAATTGATTGTCATTTTGTCAAGGAATTGACTAGTAAATTTATGTTTTTGATGCCCTGAATTGGATAAATGGATAAATATGTTTAAAAGTTGAAATTGATTTTTAGCTAATTACTTTTTGATGAGTAAATTCAAGACAAAATATACTAAAACATAAAAATTTTTTTTTGTAGGGGTAGCTTAATGAATGGTTTGAAGGTTTAAACATTTTTGCAAAATACCTCTTTTAGGGATATTAGAGGCACATTATCATGCCATTAATAAATCTTCTCAGAAGTTTTATATATTATTTAAGATACATGTTACTTGATGATTAAATTTCACACAGTAAGTATATGACTTTTGTTACAGTATTCTTTAGAATTCCTGTGTAATGTTAAGTTTTCTCCAGAATTAATGTGTTCAGACATCAGAAGTTTTGGGTTAAAATAAACACTTTTTGGGGGCTTATGAGAAATATTTTATTATTTTTTGCAAACTTACAATTTATATATTTTGACTTAATTAAGTTATTAATAAAATTCAGTATATTTAATGCATCAAACATGAATGTGTTTATAGCAAACAATACATGATGATACGATAGGAACATTGTACATTTGTTATTTTTAACCCATTTTATAAGAGCAGAGATAATTTTAAAAAGTTTGTAAGAAATCAGCATTTGAATATTAATAGTTTTATTCCCATTCTAAAAAGTGGGCATTTATTCCACAGAGACAACAAAACTTGGACAGTCTGTTTGGACCTGCGTCACCACCATCATTCTTGGATGCGGAGCATTTAGTTTCAACCCACCAGTAAAAACATCTGGGGCTCACCTTTACAAGAGATACAACAACCACCCCAACATGTCAACAACATACAATCATTGTTTGACTTTGCCAAGTCAGCTAACTCTGTAAGTGATTTCCATTAGGCACAGTGCAAGTCTCTTTGTTTGATCAAAACCATTTTCTTTATCAATCCAAAATAAAACATCCATTTTGATAGTTGTTATGAATAATATATAAACCTTAAAACTGGCGTTAAATGTTAAGAAATTATTCAAATAATAATTACTTAAATTCAGCATTTGAAGGTTATTTGATGATTATGAATGATAAGGAAGAGTGCAATAAGTTTAAACTAATCATTACATGGAATTTTACTAAAAGGATGCTCCAGTTGCTTCAAATCCACGGTCCTCACTCACGATCAGCCCCCATGGTGCTACCCAAAGGCTCAAACATTGGAAGAGATTGAAAATTCTCTGCTGCGTAAACCAAAGGTGCTGACAGCAGAAGAATTAGAGAGACAGTTACGTGGAGAATCACCAAGTCATCCATCTTCATTACCTAATGGTCATCCAATCCCTCCAGCACAGTTTAATATCCCACCTCCAAACATGGCCTCTTCTCTTCCCAGGCAACATGTAAGTAATCTTCAAATATAAGTTAACTTTTGATTTCGGTTTGAAATATTATTGATAAAAATTTCTTATGCTGATCATTTATAGAACCTTTACTTTTGTTACACTGTAATCCCAGTGGATTTTCAACAAATTTTTACTTTCCTGTAATCAATGGAAAGAAGAAGTGCATTTACACTTAATTGTGTTTCTGTTTACTTTAATGAAGACCTTAAATTTGATTTAGATTTTTTGTAAAGACTTACTTGAAATCTCGAGCTTAGGAAGACACAATCAGTAAATAATAATTGTATGAAATATTTTCAGCCTGCCTCAATGGTACATGGTCCCCCTCCAGGTATGAAGGGAGTATCAAACGGTCACAGGTCACCTGTATTTGGTACCCCTGGACCTATTGGGACGCCAGTACGTGTAGCAGCCTTACCAGGTACACCGGTCAACACTACACCTCATCAATACAGAAACAGGCAGTCTCCAGGTATATGTTTACTTCCAACTTTATCTACAAAGTAGTATTCTAGCATGTACACCTGTGTCAAACCTTTTAATGCAATATCTTTATATTAGACTGAATATAGTGTTATGTAATGGAATGCTTAACCTTAACTTATGTAAATTTAGACCATTCTTATATTTGTTCTGCTTTTAAAGCATAAAAAAAACTGTAAATTCACTGTTCAGATTTTGCAAGAAAGGGAGGAAATTGTAGGCATGTATGTTTGGTGTGTAATTTTTGTAAGGAGTATGTTTTTTTTATTGTTTTTTGTTTTTGTTTTTTTTGAGTGAGTTCTTTAGTGATACATGTGAATGTGATATAATGTATATAGTGGATATCAGTACAAGAGAATAATGTGATTTGGTTACTGATATATAGGAAACTAAATGGTATCAACAACACAGATATTGGTAACAAAAACTTACAAAGTTCAACTCTCCATTCTAGTTTGAAGTTATTATTATCTTCTATCTAAAATAACTGAGTAAAAGAATAAGTGTTGAAAAGTGATGATCAAATAGGTCCTGCAAAATTTTAATTGAAGAAAGATATCAGTAAGATGCTGATAAATAAATAAATTGTGAAATTAATTTTGGATGAAAAATAATTTTACTGTAGAATATTGGTTGTTACCTCCATTGCCAAGTTTACAAAAGCATTTGGTTAAAAATAGAAAAAAAAATTAAGACTCAATCCTTGTCAATGTGACAATTAAAAAATTGATTGTATTACAAGATATCCTATTAAAGTTTAATTCCTTTAAAGGCCATCTCAATTAATTTTGTAATTAAAATCAGTGAAACAAAATTTTCTGAACTTCAAGGCCAATTTATAGCATTCAAATTTCAATTAGTAAATGACCTTAACAAAAAAGAAAGAAAGCTCGTTAGCATGTTAACCCATTACTTCATGAGCATTTTGTGAAAAATGGCTGTTTTCATTGAAAAGTCTCCCGTTACAAGTTCAAATTGCTATAATACTATAAAAACTGCTTCAACACTAATCAAACTTGGCACAAATGTTGACTGGACCATTGCCCTTGCAACAACATGCTCAGGCTTAAATTTTCTGTTACCATGGCAACGAGGGGACATCTCAAAATTGCCAAAAATCACTATTTTGCGTTGATTTTTTCCATCAAAATTGATTTCAAAGTGCTGCAACTTCTCAATGGATTGAGATAGAGTCAAATGCTTTTCAGCGTTGGTTTTACGTTACCTTATGATGAATCTGGGGTCATTTACAGCCTCTCACAAGTCCAAAATTTTCTTGGCGAGATGAGGGGGACTCCGCCCCCCTTCAAACCCCCCTTCTGGCAACCCCCTGATGTATCTATTAGTTGGGGGGCCGCGCCGAAAAATAGGTCACTTTTTTTAACAACATTTCTCAAACAAAACAAGTGTTTGGGGCCTAAATAAGGCATTTTTTCATCATTTGAGACAACGAAAAAGGGGGGGGGTGAAAAAGGCGTTAAAAGGCGTGTATATGAAGTAATGGGTTAACAAAGCTTCTTAGCATGAAAGAATTTAAAGTTCCTGATTGGACTTGAACACACAGCTGTGAAGGGCAATTGTTTTTTAAGTCGGCAACCTTAACCACTGGGCTTTGAAGCCTCTTGAAATTTATAAGGTTTCTCTTTCTGTTGCAATCTTTCCTACTCTGGAATAATACAACTCTTATTCATTCTTTAAAATTTTATTTATTTTAATTTTTAACATAATAACTTTTATTACTTATCTCAATTTAAAGTAAACTGATACAAAAACAAGATAACAATTCCTTTTATATCCAATGCACTGCACATAAAATTCATGAAATAAGTGAAAATCATGTCAACATAAACCTGCTAGTGCTAAAACCTAGCGATAACAGTAGTTCAGTGCCAAGCTGGTGGATCAAAATAAACACATTGCGTTTTTCACAACACTTTCCAGTCTTTTTGTTAATCAAATATGTACATATAAATACCATACTTTTTGAGACAGATCAGTATTATAATAAATTTTACATGTTATAGATAACTAACACTAAGTATGTGTTTTGAAATGTGTGTAGATAGTTATTTAATGAGCATTAATTTTGTTTTGTTGTGTACCCAAGTGTTAATGTTAACACGGAGATCACCTGTACCACGTTCTCCAACACCACCACCCCTGTGTGTGAGTCCAATCCCTCGTACACCACAGATGGTAGGCGTGCCATTTAGATTTATGACTCCATATGCCAGCCCGAGTCAGCCTAGATATATAGGTAGTGCATGTGTTTTGCAGATGCTTATTTCAATTGTTCATTAATTAATGTTGTTTAAATGTTTAGTCATCTGCACAGTCTTTGCTGCTTAATTCTTATAATTTGATGCAGTTTAACATCCATATCTGACTTTTACTAAATTCTAACAACTTTTTTCATTGTTGCCCACTAGTAACTCTTTACTTAGTTATTACACTGTTAAAAAGTAAAATATTAAGATACAATCTCATTTATTTCAGTTACCAAAATATCTCTTTCTCATGAAAATACATGTATATATTTTCTATTGCCTTTGTTCATATTAATAGAAAGTCCTTTTGGATTGTAGCATAGGAAGTTGCACAATGATTTTCAAGAGTTCTTAAACATAGCTAATTTTGACCAATCCATAGAAAAAATAGGTACATAAACTTTTAAGGTTATGTGATTATTTTGTGAATGTCATTGGAAACCAATAAGAATAGCATTACCTATAAATGATTTCATAGATTTTTTTTGCTTAAAAAATGCCTAGAAATAATTTTTTGTCTCAAGATATGTCAGGTCAAGAAACTTGAAAGGGTTGGGTCTCTATATATTGCTACATTAAAAAAAACATTACCTTTATAATTTTGAAAATAAAATTTAGTTTTTAAATTCCAATAACATTGATACCCCTTTATAAAGCAGGCCCTCTATATGATTCAATCAGCTGAATTAGATTTTTTTTTAATTTTACGAGGTTCAGAAGAGAGCATGATACTGCCATTGTTTAAACTAATCTCTTGTTTAACTATAACCATTGTTTCAGGTGGTCAGAATTCTCCATGTTGTCGTATAGCACGAATACTCAACATCTTTAAAGAATGGAAATCACAAGATAAATGTTAACTTTATTAATATGTTGACATTGTTCTATTGTTTCAGTTTATCTAACAATATTTATTATTCTTGGAGATATCAGGACATTGTTTTAAATTCAGATTTGAAGAAATATTTTACGACTGTGTAATTTTATATGCTCTCAATATTTATTTAAATATGTGATAACCATTTTTAGCAAGGCTATTGGGATAATAAGGAGAGCTATTGTACTCTTCAAGGCGTTGGTGTCACATTTTAGTTTTTGCGTGCAAGTTGATATCTTGAAAACTACTGGAGGGAATGGGTTGAAACTTCACACATTAATTTGAGAACATATAGAGGATATTTGTTTGTTTTGCATGTAAGATTGAAATATAATTTCACTGAGTGAACACCAGATGTAATATTTTCACGAGTGGCGTAGTCACGAGTGAAAATATAATAGCTGGTGTTCAAGAATGAAATATATTTCAATCTTATATGTAAAACAAATAAATTTTCTTTTTATTTCATGCTTTTTAAGTGATTTTAAGTATATTTTTACTAATTTTGCCGCGTAACGTCACGCATTCTCCTTTGTGACGTCATCACATCATGACGTCACATCATCAATTTTGAAATATAGGTCTGATAAATTTCTCTAATTTTGTTACATTTTTAGCATGATGTATGATGGCATCGACTTTCTTTTCCTAAAGAAGCAAAATTTACGCATGATTGCATTTATTTCTACCTGTTATTCCATTTAGTTATGATTTTCATTTCATCCGCATTCAGATATAGTCCGGCTACAGTGAAAATTATATTTTATAAATTTCACTAGTGGTTTATCAGAATATAATCATCTGATATATTACAATAAAACACCGGAAAGCATGAAATAAAATAGAACATCACTGTCCAAAAACGGATTTTGACAAAAAATGACCCTTTTTGAACTAAGAAAATTCTACATTATCCAGGCTCTTGTTTTATTGTCAGGCACTTTTCAATAAAAATAGGTTTGAATGAAATGGTTAATTAATGAGATAATATATTCTATGATATTTATTGTGTAATGAGGTATACATCTGTAAATAAAACAGAATGAGGCATTTAATCTCTGTAACAACCTATCATAAGATTTGTATGTTGACAGTTGCACACTAAGACCAGGACAGCCACTCTTCAAAGACATTTACTTCCCCTGATCATTGGTTTGGCAACTTCTTTAACATACCATTCATTATTGCTAACTCATCTTATAGAATTTCAAACTGTGGCCTAACAATAACATTTGACTGTTCTATGGTTTACTGTTTCACTCAAGCATACCAGTTTATAACAACTATGCAGAAAAAGATAATAATTCTCATGTTAAGTCAAAGTTATAAGATTACACAGCTGTGAAATGTCCTGAATATCATCTAGATCTGTTTGTTTTACTTGCTATGTTTACTGTACATGTGAACTGTAATATCTTATATACCTATGTTGTGTTCTGTTCTTTAGACTGTTATTTTTCTTATTTTCAAAGTTCAGTGCATTTTCTGATTTCCAACAAATTAGAATTAGTATATTAGAATTAATATACATGTAATGAAGCCAGTAATGAAGGTCATTCTGAAGAAAGAGAAAAGTGTCATTAATTGAGAGGATGAATTGTAGAATAAATTTTCTTACATGTGCTGTTATTTGTCATGTAAGGAAAGAAAATGATTTCTTGTAGAGGAAGGTTTTCTTGATAAGATGTTTTATTGGTGTTTATCTGTAATTCTAACACAACCAGCATTTTCCCCAAATGAACATAGAAGGACCGAAAGTGTGTGTGTAAATACAGTTAAACTTCGTTCGCTCGAACTCGGATCGCTTGAATACCTCCCTTCGCTCGAACTCATCGCCCAGTCCCGGCAAAATTCCTAAATAATATATTGTTCTAACCCGGATCGCTCGAACATCGATTGCTCGAACTCTCGAACCTGATCTTTTGTCCCTTCGGCAGATATATAATGAAAATCACACCTTTTCGGTAGAACACAAAAAGACAAGTCGACATGTCCTAAATAAATGACAGTCGGCGACACATGTTTTTAACACCTCGTGATTATGACAAAGGCAATGAAGGTTAATTGATACAAAATAAGAGGTGTTGTAACCGATTTTTAGCTCGACTTTTCTATGAAAAGGGGAGCTATCCTACTCGCCCTGGCGTCGGCGTCGGCGTTAGCGTTAGCGTTGGCGTCACACCTTGGTTAAGTTTTTCGTACCACCCCACTTTATTTCAGAAGTATTACAAGTATGGCTTTGAAACTTACCATACTTGTTCACCATCATAACCTCCATCTACAGACAAGAGTACATAACTCTGTCAAGGTTTTTGACAGAATTATGGCCCTTTTTTGACTTAGAAAGTGTATTGAGCTTGGTTAAGTTTTTTGTACCACCTCACTTTATTTCAAAACCATTGGAGGTATTGCTTTGAAACTGACCATACTTGTTTACCATCACGACCTTCATCAACAGACAAGAGGACATAACTCTGTCAAGGTTTTTGACAGAATTATGCCCCTTTTTGACTTAGAAAATACATTGAATATGGGTAAAATCCACTTATTGCCTTAACCCTTTGAGATATTGCTTTGAAACTTTTAATGCTATTTCACATCATTACCCCCATCTGTACGCAAGAGAAGGTAACTCTGTCAAGGATTTGTTTTAAAAATTAAGGCCTTTTATCGACTTAGAATCTTGGTTAAGTTTTTAGTACCAGTCCACTTTTTGACTGAACTGTTTGAGATATTAATTTGAAAGTTGGAATACTTGTTTACCATCATGGTCCCAAAACATGGGCAGGAGAAGGTAATTCTGTTAAGGATTTTATTTGAATTATGGCCCTTTTTGACTTAGAAACTCAGTTAAGATTTTCATTCTTGTCCACTTGTTGACTTAACCATTTGAGATATTACTTTGGAAGTTGGAGTTCTTATGTGCCATCATGAGACCTATCTGTAAGCAAGAGAAGATAACTCTGTGAAAATGTTTCTTGATTTGTACTTAGAAATTCCTAGTTAAAGTCTTGTGTGCCCTTAACTGTCAAAGTTTTGTTTTATAGGCAAGCACTAAAAAAGTCGAGCGCGCTGTCCTTCTGACAGCTCTTGTTGTTACAATAATATTGATTATTTGCCGTTTATGGTTTGCCGTTTATGGTAACGATAAAAAGAAAAGAACTTGTGAAATAAGTGAAATATGCAAAAGTCAATAAAGAATGACATTTATCCGGACGGCTTTAATTACAACCGTAGTTCATGCAACGTGAATTGTAATAGTGTTTACAAGATGCATGAATATAGATTAACACAACATACTGTTAATACTTCTGAATATGACATATTCGACGAACAAATGTACTAACAAACAATTATATTTACGTAATGATAGTTTGACCTCGGTTGGCTCGAACTACCGATCTCTCAAACAAATTTGCACAGGCCCTCCGAGTTCGAGCGAACGAAGTTCGACTGCATGCATTAATATCAGTGTTGAAGATCTATATTTAGACCAGTGATGTAACCATTAAAAATGCAACGTGTTGAAAAAATACGGAAACAAATCAAGGACAATTTGTTGGGGATGTATTATTTCTTAAATATGAGTTTGATTGTAAATGTACTTGATAACAAATGTAAAAAGAGATAAGAATGCCATTTTGTGAAATATATAAAATGATTGTGTACTTTGTTTTGTTGAATTTACATACCATGTTTTGGTTGTTATTAATATAAATTTCTTCATTTTATGTAAAACAAACTACCGGTAGATTTATTATTATAAACATATATACAACAAGTATGGTATTATTTCAGCAACACCAGGTCGCGGTTTATCACAGCCTATAGGTATACCTCATGCCATGAGAGGACCTCCACCAACCAACAGTCCCCAGGGATTATATGGTAGTCCACAGGGACCCTACAGCAGTCCTCATCAACAAAGGTCATTTTACATTTCATGATTATCATCTACTTTATTCCCTTTCATTAAGTCAAGTTGAATAAATTGGTAAGGAGAGGGTGCCTTGAATTCTTAATTTTAAGGCCTGGTTGAAGCACATGTATCCCCATTCAAATTTTGTTGATGAAAGTAAATCAATGCCCAGTGTTCGCGTTTACTGAGTAAACATATCAATTTACTCACTAAAATTGCCAGGGAGGAAAGAAAAAAAGGGCTGTTGAGTCCCTGGGACGAAACACTTTTTCCCCGATAATTGGTCAATTCTCTCTTAAGTTTTTTTGCTCTGCTTGAAAATGATTTTCTATTCACTTTAAATAAATTGTATTATAAGAACTTGACTTTCACCTCATTTTGATTTGTTCCCTTCTCTTAAGCAATGCAGATTAATTTTCCAAACCTATACCAGGAGCAAGTGCTCGGCCTTGTTTTGGGCCAACCTATCAATGGTATCCGCGAACATCAACAGTCACAAATTTGATTGTATTATGAAGTTATGCAAACATTGACATTTTTGTAATTGAGGACTCGTTCCATTTGAATTGGGACGTAACAGATCTATTAGCACTGAGTCCCAGGTACTCAGTAAAGTTAGGGAAAATCGCTAACACTGAATGCCTTTGGTCTTCCAAATCTATTTAAAGGATTTATGTATAGAAGTTTGCAGTTACTTGTGGATAAATATACCAGTAACATCACTGTCTGCTGGTTTATAGCCGAAAAACTGTTCAACTTCAGGGATCATTCTAGTCAGGATTTTTAGTGAGAGATTTTCTCTCATTTGAGAAATTTTAATGAGAGAAATTAGATTTTTGTGAGAGATTTAATTTTCATGATGGGTGAGGTTAAAAATATGGAAATTTCTAACTTTTTAAAATCACTGTACATAAAAACATTGTTTATCTAATGAGGATATAAGAAGATGTAGCTCTGTTTATTACAGTGATTTTTGTTTTCAATTTTTTAACACATCCTATGCCTTTTCTTTTGTGAATTTTTATACATAATAAAATTCTAATTGTGAAAAATAACATTTATTCTGAAATATAAAAGAATTATACATGGATATCTACTACAACTATTATTTGCAGCCGATGTTCCTAATGGACAACACTGTACTGAAGTGATTGTTGAGATTTGAAGAATATTTTTTATAACCTTACATTTTGTTTTCTTTATGATTCTCTTCACACACCTCCCTCTATTAAAAAATATTCATTGAATATGTGACCTGCACAAATAGTGACAAATATCTCCATATCCACTAATATAAACAATACCTAAAGTAATTTTTATTCATAAACATCATTTTAAGTGTTATAAAACACCTTTAAATAACACTCAGCTTCCTTTCAGTATTTTTTTTTTAATCACGACATCGCGAAAATATGTGACAAATGAATATTTGTCTGTTTTCCGCTGAAACATTCACAATTCTAGCTGTTGCTGATTGCAATTATATAAAATCAAATATTTTTTGTTCAATAAAAGAATATTTATTATCGGCTATTTTATCAGGAATCGTAAAACAAAATTTTTTAATTTGTTCTTTACGGCAAAATTTACCGTGGTTGATGTGACATTTAGAAGGCAAATTTTACCGGTATTTGTTTTTTACATGTCCATTTTTATGTTAATCTGTGTCTAACAATTTTTATTAAAATCAATTAAAAGTGTTTTGTGTAAATTCTCAACTTACAGATAGATAAAGGTTAGCCATCATACCGTATTTCTGTATGGTGAATTTGCGGTCTCCGATCGGCAATTATTTTAAGCTAAATAATTTAAAGTGTTGGACTACTTTTTGTTGTTGTTTTACACCAATTTCATTAATAAACAATTTGAAATCAAATTCTTGATGGGAATCATGAATTTTGCATCATATTTTTGTGTAATTTTAACATTTCTTTAGATTGTGATTAGACATTTTCCGCTCAAATTGCTGTGCGAGATTTTCTCTCATTTCACAAATTTCTCTGAGATTTTGGTGATTTTTTTGCGAGAAATCGCGGAAATCGCCCCCTAGAATGATCCCTGCAACTTGCAAATATGTGTAAAAACAAGCCGTCTTATAATTGTCATGTTTTGAATGTATAAATTTACAAAAGTAGATCTAAATTCTTAAAAGGAATAGTTTAAAATATATTTTATTCATTATAATCATGCCAAATGATTAATGATATATTTATAAAGCTGTTGAGAAGATATTACAATAGTATAAAGTTTTGATGTATGTTTTACATATAAACATCTTGCCAGTCTGATTATTGTTAGCTTGAACAATGATTCAGCTATATGTACAATAGTGTAAAGTTCAATGATATGTTTCAGGTTCCAGCAACCAGGAAGTTTCAATGAAGTTTACAATAACAATAGAAATAACAACAATGCATACCAGTAAGTACAGTCTTGTGTATAGTAATCTTTTATTTATCAGAGATTTTAAATATGTTGTACTCATTATGACAGTTTATTAAACAATGATATAATATGATTGCCTTGATTATGCTCAAATTGATATTGAGTAAAAACTTGACAGTCAAGAAGTTATGGTTACCGACTTTCACTCACTTGTCCCTTAATGCTGTGGGCTTGATTCCAGCTAGTCAATTAAATGTAAATTGAAGCTATCTTATGAAAGGTTGTTGGTTTTACTTGAATGTTCTCTCTTAATGTGAAACAATGCACATAAAAGAAAGAGTATCTTTCACCACTAGAATAAAGCTGGAAAGTTGGAAAAGTGACACATGACATTTGCTGTGTTGGTGTGAACAAAAACCCAAATAAAAAACGAAAAGTGAATATTCTCAAATATCATTTATGTACATATGTTGTATAGATTTATTGTAAAGAAGGGAAATATATGTTTGCAGGTCATCTCCTCATATGAAAGCCCAGTACCAGGAGAGACAAAGAAATGATCAGGCCAACAACAAAGAACATAGGTCAGTTTCTCTTATAGGCATCTGTAATACTTATCTAAATATATATTGTTAATTTGAGAGATTATAGTATTGTATCAAACCAAATTTGATACAATCACAGCATAAGATGATGTTAACATACTAAAGTTCAGAAAAATTTAAATATAATTATGTCAGATAAACTGTAATCATTAATTGTTCTGAAAGATGAAGATGTTTGAATATTATTTCTTATTTCTTTTAGTGTTTTTACATCAATGTATAGTAAATCATTGTGCTGTCACTTCATTAGCATTAAGTTAAAAGGTTATACATATAAATAAAATAAAAAATTGGTGATTCTATTAATGAACAGATTTAATAATAAGTATAATTTTACCACCATGAAAGCTTTTAAATTGCCCAATAATGCCCACATCAGAAACATATTTTACTACATCAAGCTGTCTGACATTATAAACTAAACTGTACATGTATATATGATACTAATATCTGATGACAGGTATCACCGTTACCCCTACAATCAGAAGTACGAGTCCCGTCAAGAACACTCAGGTCAGCGTAAACGTGGCAGTAAAGACGAGGATAACTATGCAGGATTAATGACCCAGAAAGAGAAAGAATGGATCATCAAGATACAGCTGTTACAACTACAAACAGACAACCCTTATGAAGATGATTACTACTATGCTGTAAGCTTTTACCTCTGTCAAACATATTATTTTAGTGAATTTTGTAAAATTGCATCTTTTCTGTTGAAGGTATTAGGATGTTAACCTAAAAATGTTCAAATTTTTCTTTGATACAATGTGACCATTTAATGGATAAAGCTATGTTATAACACTAATAATGTTTTATCAAATGTTTAAGTTGATTAGTTTTAGACGTCTCCTGATCCTATAATAAACAGCGATGTTCAGTCTGATTATCAGATTTAAAAGAAAAACATAAAAATTATGAAAGGGTTCCACTAGCAATAATACTGATAATGAATTTTTGACAAGACTTTCATTTTCTAAATAATAATTAGATTTCCTGTCTCACCTACCAGTTTCTATTTAATTAATGGAACAGGTTAGATATGGTATATATTTTATGATATCAATGTATTTAAATTCAGTCTTGGTGCTTGAGAAAGAAGGCAAAGGAGTTAGAGAAAGATGTGAAGGAAGATTCAGAACGTAACCTTATAATACCTTTACTCGCTAGAGCAGAAAACAGAGTTTATAAACCAGGTATACTTAATGCAGTTTAAAATAATTATACCCCCACAAACGAAGTTTAGGGGGGGTATATAGGAGTCAGTTTGTCGGTCGGTCCGTCCGTCGGTCGGTCCACATCATGGTTTCCGGACGATAACTAGAGTTTGGAATGAGGTATTGTAATCAAACTTGGTATATAGCAACCTTATGTGGAAACTCCGGTTGGTATTGCATTTGGACCCCCTAGGGTCAAGGTCAAGGTCACCGTTACTAAAAATAGAAAAATGGTTTCCAGACAATAACTAGAGTTAGGAATGAGATATTGTTATCAAACTTGGTGTATAGCAAGTTTATATGAAGACCTGGGTTGGTATTGCATTTGGACCCCCTGGGGTCAAGGTCAAGGTCACCGTTAGGAAAAATTGAAAAATGGTTTCCGGACAATAACTTGACTTAGGAATGAGATACTGTAATCAAACTTGGTGTATAGCAAGCTTATATGAAGACCTGGGTTGGTATTGCATTTGGACCCCCTAGGGTCAAGGTCACCGTTACTAAAAATAGAAAAATGGTTTCCGGACAATAACTAGAGTAAGGAATGAGATATTGTTATCAAACTTGGCATATAGCAAGCTTATATGAAGACCTGGGTTGGTATTGCATTTGGACCCCCTGGGGTCAAGGTCACCGTTAGGAAAAATAGAAAAATGGTTTTCGGACAATAACTAGAGTTAGGAATGAGATATTGTAATCTTATTTGGTGTAAAGGAAGCTTATATGAAGACCTGGGTTGGTATTGCATTTGGACCCCCTAGGGTCAAGGTCACCGTTACTGTGTTACTAAAAATAGAAAAATGGTTTCCGGACAATAACTAGAGTTAGGAATGAGATATTGTAATCTAATTTGGTGTAAAGGAAGCTTATATGAAGACCTGGGTTGGTATTGCATTTGGACCCCCTGGGGTGAAGGTCAAGGTCACCGTTAGAAAAATGGTTTTCAGACAATAACTAGAGTTAGGAATAAGATATTGTAATCTTATTTGGTGTATAGGAAGCTTATATGAAGACCTGGGTTGGTATTGCATTTGGACCCTCTAGGGTCAAGGTCACCGTTACAGTGTTACTTAAAATAGAAAAATGGTTTCCAGACAATAACTAGAGTTAGGAATGAGATATTTTAATCAAACTTGGTGTATAGCAAGCTTATTTCGAGACCCCAGTTGCGATTACAGTTAATTGAAATATTTCTTTGTACACAGTTGATAGTTTGTGTTCAAATTTTTCTTTAGACTACTTTTTTTCTTCAAAAGTCAAAGTTGCTGGTGGGGGTATTAATCACCTTCAGTGATAGGTCTAGTTAATTTTAATCTTCAAATTATCCTATCTTAATTGAATAATCAAATTTCTGAAAGTTTCCATTAAAATTTTAATTAATGTTTTCCACCATTGAAGTATTTCCATTAATATTTTATTGCAGCACATTTTGAAGGGTCTTTGGGTCGTTTAACAACATCTAGTGTTCATAATCCACGACAGATTATAGACTTACTTGCTAAAAGTGTATCAGAGACAGCAGCTGGAGTTAAAAATTCCACCAGTAATGTTGGTAAAGAGTTGAGAAAGTCAAGACAGCTGTTCATGGATATTGAAAAGGTAATTCTCTTCTGCTTCATTGTAAAAAAACCAAACATTTGCCTATGTATCTACATTCCCAGATATGTTTAAAATACATATAATATTTCTTTAATCATATTTTAATGATAGAAAAAGTTTAGGCATACACATACTTATATAAAGTAGAAATTGAAGCTACATTTCCTGGGGTTAGAATCTTTAGAATTGAACTGGTCTACTTAAAAGGAGGTAAAGTGTTTTCTTTTAATGATTATGTCTTGTATGTAGAAGATAGCCAAATATTTCAACAGATTGCAGATTGGTTAGATTAAAATAGAATAAACTTTTCTAAGATGTATCAATTTTCTGTATATAATGTTTAAAACATTTTAATGATGTAATATTTCAGGGATATAATCTGCTCCTGGATATAGATACATTAGAGAAACAGATCCTTGCTCTTCCTGAAGATATGAGGTAATGTCAAATATTATAATGCAGTTGTTATGTTAGTTTATACAAATTTGTTTTAGTATGATTATGTTGGAAGCTATAAGCTTATTGAAACACTCTCGAATCTGTTCCGGGAACCAACCAGTAATATGTTCATGAATGTAAAGTTTCTTACTCAAGGAAACAATGGCTTGCCTCTGACAGGATTTGAACCCATGCGGTCAGCAATCCTTAAATTACTTGTCAGACATGCTAACCACTCGTCCACTCAGTGTGTTGTGTTGAAAATAAATCATAGTTTTTAACCTTGCATGTTTATGAACAGTGCTAATCAAAGACTTCTGTTTACTTCATCTGTGTGTACATAAATAATTTAATGATGTTTTATATTGTATGACAACAAATGTAAGAGTTATCACATAACTAAAAATGCCAAAATTAAACAAAATTCTTACAGTTTGACATTTTGTATGGCTTTATATGCTCCCCAAAGGGAGAGCCTATATAAAAGTTCATTATTTGAAATGAAAGGTGTAGATAAAATATGACTATTGTTTGTGTAATGTATTTTCAGGAAACCACTTCTGGAAGAGAGATCTATTAGAGTGGATTTGTTGTTTCATTATTTACTCTGTGATGGTAACTCTGCTGCCTTCATGCAATATATGAATGTAAGAAAGGGTCGTAGCCTCACTAGACGAGCCTTGCCATATCTTGATAAGGTAAATGTATACTCCTATATTTCCTCTACACTTAAAAGTAAACAGGTCAGGCACCTATTGAGACTACTATACATTGATATAATTATAATACATAATAATGTTTAGTAAAAAAATAAAAATCTGAAATAAAGTAAATGTGATGATAATGGCATTGTTGGTAATTTACAAAATTTCCATTAGATTCAGAGTGACCTCTCTTAGTCAAATGGCTCGAAATTGTCGGACAAGAAATTTAAAAAAAGTAAAATTAGAATTCTTTGTTTTACATGTATTAATGGTTCATGTTATTATATTATTGTAGGTACAGTCAGTGGGTATTGTATCTTTGGTATGTAAGAATTTACAACAACTTATGAAGAATGACCAGGCTGATGAGGTATGAGATTTATTGTAATGTTGAAAAAAAAAAATATAATCAGTTCAATAAAAACAAACGCTTTTCTTAAGCTTTCGACGTTTAGTCTTCTTCAGAAAAAATTGACGTTTATAAAATAACAAATGACAAATGACGCAACGTCCGTTTAACTATACGCTAAACAGAACGTGACGTTAACGCGGGAATAAAAACTTTGTCCAATAAATACAGAATCTTTCATGAATATAAATACAGCAATATACAATAAATTACACATATAATATGGATCTGCACATGTGATACAAAAATTCTCATAATTAATAATAATAAAAAACCTTGATATGAGAAAAAACATACTACATGTATATGTATACCGGCTCAATAATGACAAATAGAGGATATTGAATGAGTGCAAGTTCAACACTGAATTTATCGCACGAGTTGAAAAAAACTATATTATGCGAGCCTCTGGCGAGCATAATATTATTTTATTCAACGAGTGCAACAAATTCAGTAATGAACTCACACGAATTCAATATTCCATTTATCATATACCCAAAATAAATACCGTTTAAAGTGAAATAAGAGTCATTTTTCATTGACGCGCCTATAGTGTAACGATAACATTTAGCGCGTCTAAAAAATACAAATACATTATATTAAATGTTAAACGGTTCTGTTAAACAGTTCTAAACTGGTGATATTAGTTATTTCTGACATGATTGGCCACATATTTAACATTAAGTATGACTTTTATCAATTTTAAATATGGAAATTTGTGAACAGAAAAGCATGCAAATATGCATCATGATTGCTTGGTTTTTGATAAGCATGACTAAATGCATCAAAGTAGATTGGAGTTAGTCAACTGCAATGATGACCCTTGTAATTTCATTTATATCAAAACATAACTGGGCTTTGGCTTCACCTGATTTGCAAGCACTAAAAAGGGTCCATTGAACCTCTAGTAGTAGTATTTAAGGGTATTATCAGTATTGCAAGTTATACTGGTGATGGCAAGAATTAATATAGACTATTTATATTTTCTGTTAGGGCAGGACCAGTCATATTCTCTAATGTTGATTAGGTTTTATCATATATATGTATATTGTAGAGATTAGAGGAACTGTTCCTTCCATGTGCCAAGGTGATTGAGTCCTGTAACCTAGCAACTGTTGTCATGTTTGTAGAAGATATCCAACATGAAGAATCTCCATCCACTACAAAACCCATTGCAATGGCATTACAAAATAAGGTTTGTCTCCTCCTGAAACAATCTAGTAACAGATGTTTATTTTACCTAGATTTATTTATTATAAATTTTATGTACAGTGTGTAAAATTTGACATTAAATCCTAAGTATAGTGTTTTCATAATGGTAAAGAATCTTAAGTAAAAAAGTTCACGCTTGCTTAAATGATAAGACTTTTCCTGGTTTCTTCATTTCTGTTTTAACATTCAGTTCCAGAATTTCGGAACAGATGTGTTAGACAGTAAAAAGCATGTGACAGTTAGATGATTTTTATAATTGTTTGATATTAATAATTGATATATTAATGTTTTGTTTTTGATTTTTCAGTTTGGCAGTTCTATGTTGTGTGTTTTATTACATCAAGGTGAACATATATACAGTACAACTTCACCTGTTGATCTTGATAGTAACTTACAGAATGAATGGTCAGTATCAATTGATATTATAGTAAGGTATAATGTTGATGAAAGCAGAATTATGGATGCAGTTTATTTTGAATTTAAGCTGTCATAATAAACAAGGCCCAATGGCTTAGATGTTTGCCTCTCACCTTTGTAGTTTCAATTTCTACATGGGACTTTGAATTCTCAGTTGTAGTCATCATATTATATACATACGACAATATTTATGGTTGTTAGTTGATACAATCAGATAAAGTAACTACAGTAATAACTGTATTAGATTTTAATGAATCAATATATAGAAAAAAACAAAGATTATGCCAACTTTTGCATCAAGTAAGCAGAAGACTTGTATATAGTCTTACATTGCTTAACAAATGTAAATTGTTTTTATCCAAGACTTTGTATTAGCATTTTGTATGATTTATTGTAATTTATAAAGAGTTGTATGGTTTATTGTATTTTATTAAGAGTTTGTCATAGTAATTTGTATGCTTTATTGCTTAAAAAAAATAAAGAAATTTGAATCTTAATCAAAAGATAATATTGTAGTTTGTTTTTGTATATTTCAATATTATGTTATTACAGGGGTGAATTTGTACATGATTTTGCTGGAATCATGGCTACACTGCCTCTAGAGTCAATTGTTGCCCCAATTCAGACACACTCTGACATATCGCCACATCTAGAACGGCTGCTCAATAAACGTCTGATGGCCGTTGTCGAGGACAACCTGAAAATCTTCACTCACCCTCCTGTCGTGAATGAGTCCTGACACAATAAATCAACGGCAGCCTAGCTGATTAAAATGAATCTGGACTTAAAACAGTTTTTCAAGTTTATAAGCTTTGATTTTATCAGGATATAACTGACTTCACCTTTAAGGGTTTTGCTTGGTTCTCATACCTTATAATTGGTTTGACATACATGTGGTATCAATTATTTACACTGTCACATCATAACACAGATGTTTGATGTACCTTTGTGATAGCATTGACCTTATATTTCTTGAGTATATAGTGCTTTAATTATCTCAACAGCTTCTCACATTTGTATGAAATCTACTTTCGGCCCTACACATTGTGTGGTGTGTTTATTCAAGTTTTCTGAAATGTTCTATATATAACATACACATAAAGACATTTCAGTGTTCTAGTTCTTCAAATTTTGGCAAGAATACATAGTTATGTTTATATTTCAGGGTTAGTACATCAATAGTTTGATATAGATAAGAATCACTTGCCTGTAATATTTTTCCTTTATGTAATTATCTGACTTGAAAAATTACCTATGAAGCTTAATATTTAATATACTCTCTTATGAGCCAACCCGTTAAACAAGTACTATTTTCTTTTGAATTTCTGTAAAAGTATGTTCAAAATAAAATATTTTTTCTCGTTTTTATATCTAGGTATTAAGGAGTGGTAATATAATTATGTAACCTTCAACATGAGTGCTTTCTCCATTAGATAAAATTTTACGGTTAGTAGGCGTATGTTTATTTTTGTTTCTACAAATATGATTTTTATTACAGTTCAGAATTTAATAAGAAAATGTAACTCTTTTTTTTTCATAACATTTTATTACTGTTAAATGCTAAAATCTTTGTTAATAACTCTAAAGAAATAAAAAATGGTCTCAAATATATATTTTAATTAAGTAATAATTATTTCTTATGAATCAGTAAATACAAAACATATACAAATTTGATTACAAAATAACTTAGTTTGTCTTTTTTATCCAGATATCAAATATTGCTTTTTATTTTTCTTAATTCTTTTCTTCATATACATTATATTATGTTACAGGTAAAGGGTAAAGCTTTTTGTTAGTAACTAGGGAAGATAGGGTTGCTTATACTGAAAAAAAAAACTTTAAAAAAACTTTATTGAAAAATGTTGTATAGTCAGGTTTACTTTAATGATGGTATTATTGTGATGTTTGGAAAATTTCAGAAAATAATTGATTTACAAATTGTAACAAAAACCTTTACATTTAATGTTAACAAAATACTTATAACAAGACAGACGTTGAATTACATAGCTAAAATGAACTTGCTGACTGAAATCTTTGATTTCAATTATTTCTTGGCATTGATTTAGAGTTAGCTTCACAAGATGACAAATGATGAGATCATTTCTATTTAAATGAAATATCTTTGAATATTTTTAAAATATCATTCAGGAAGTATGTTTTCATAACTGTTTGGGTCCTTCTGTTAAATTTTAAGCACAGCTAAGCCCACGGAATGATCAAGGTGAGCTTTTATGATCACTCACTGTCGAGTCATTCCTCCACACTTCTTGTTAACTTCAACTCGGTGACTGGGCCAGTATGATCAACATTTTGATAGAAATGTTCCATAAGTGATACTCTGTCAAAATTGTAAAAAAAAAATGTTAAAATTGTAAAAAAAAAACAAAAACATATGCCAAGATAGCTCCAATAATTCTGATAAGTTAAAAACACAGCCGCTGGGTGTGTGATCTTTTCCATGTATGTATATAGGGAAAACTTATTTTTTTCTTCAAAAAAATAGATTTTGTTTGATTTTGACATTATTTAACAGAATTGATTCTCAAGTGACCATCTAGCAAGATTGTTAAACTTAAGTAAGCATGGCAATTATAGGGGTAGGCTTACTGATGTATGTATAGAAATAAAAAAAAATCATCTTGGTTAAATCTGTTGATCAGATTTTGATATAATTAAACAGAAAAGACCGTAAGTGACTCACTACCAAGATTGATGAATTGATTTTGATTAGTCAGAAGATAATGCTCTTGGTTTGTGGTTGTTAGCAATCTTATAAACTTGGGTGAGCAATACCGGACTATCACAACCATCTTATTTATCTAAAATGTTGACTTTTTTAAGAATAAAGAAAAAGGACAGTGATTCTTAAGTTTTTTTTGATTGCATTTTAATTTCTTCTTACTTATTTTACAACATTCAAATTACATATAATTATATTGTCTTACGTCTGGTAGGTGGTTGTATATATAAAATTCATCAATGTTTCTACACTTAAGTCTCGTTTAGCTTACACTTTTTATATTAATCAATGTTAAGAAATAAGTTTGTGAATGTTTATCAACATGTTTGTGACAGTTTTTGCTTTGAAACACATCTATGTAATGCTTATTTTCAGCTCGCTACTGTTCTAATGCCATAATTTTTCTGTAATATATCGGAATTTATTATTTTTTCACAAATTTTCACAATTTTGAAAGCATAAGATTTCTCTTGTACCTTTTTAGGTGAAATGTAAATTTAGCTTTATATAATTAATATTTCTTGAATCCTCCAGACTTTTTGTAAGATTTTTTTTTTCCAATGAAATGTTTTTAATTTTTAGAGCCTCGTACACATGTAGACAACATGTTAATGTCATCACTATTTCAGTTAAACAGTTTATATGGCGTCATATAAAGGTATTGAACTGTTGTGACCTTTGCACTTTTCTGTTCCCAAGTTTTTGCTGTACATTTTGTGTACTTTATAACCTGTAATTTGTATACTCGGCTGATATCATCATGTTGTAAATCTTTGTAATTAGATAATTTTTCCAAAAATGGGATTTGTATATATCATATTTTGTAATGAGACCTTTATGTTAGATTTTTTTCATAGACTTATTTGATAACTTGCTTACATAAAACTAGACCTGTGGGACGATATTTGTTTAGTCCAAAGGTGACATGTTGTTAGACCTTTAAAACACAGGTGGGTAATAATATATTACCTTTTTTTCATGGAATTATGCATCATTTTTTTGTTCCCTTTAAAAGCAAAATATTGTACAAATAAATCTATGGCTATTAGCATCTACTTGATCTTATTTTTATTTACCGACCTATTTATCTATAACGAATCTTGACCCCTTGCGTTAATATTCATGGTCACATGACTGTTTGCAAATGTCTTGGACCCTTAAATAGGGATACATCAGTGTCTGAAAATTCATTTTAAGGATTTTGATGGCGAAGTTAATAATACACATAATACAAATGAACGTGTTTATTTAACAACAATATCATATTACAGATCGGCACTTTTTTTTCTACAAAAATTCTGTACATTTTATTACAAATAAAAGCGGGGTATTGACAATAATTTAAAGACCCTGATGAAAGACAATGTATGTGGACAATGTTTTTAACCTGGCGTCCGTCACAAAACGTAATCCAAACTCGAGTATGTTAAAGTTAATATCACTTAAGTCTGATGTTTCAAATCAGATTAGTATCGTGGCATGAACATCTTGTTAATTTTGTGTTCAGGAACGCCCATTCTCCGTTGTTTCTGTTCATCATTCCGTATTTTCCTGTCTCGAACCATCATTCTTAGTGTACGATTGCCACCCTTGCTGTTAGATGACCGTCCCGTGTTGAGTGACGACTTTCCTCCACCACTAGCCCGGCTGGTGTGACCCCTCGTTATATACACTTCGTCATCCTCCAGGTCACCGTCATACTTACACAATAAATACATGTGTACAATATTGGTGAGAAACAACATCAACGTCATTATCAAACAGAGTACAGCTGTATTATAGTTGTTGTCAATGTTGGTCTCATAGCTACAGAAACCATTCCTGTCATATGATACGTTCTCATTCTTCTTGCAGTTAGAAATTCCAAACAGAGTTATAAATATAACTCCTAGAATAAATGCTGGAACTGCCAGGTACACAAACACGCACACTGTACATAACTGAAGGAAAAAGTGTAGCGAGTACGGGTTCGTGCTTCTAGACGGGATTTGAAAATAATGTTTTGTAATATACGAATAAATTAGAAGAAAAGAAAGTGTTATCTTTAAAATCTCGGACAAAAACTTACAAGGAATCACAGATTTTAGGACAATGCCAGCGTGTATTGAAACCTAATTGAATGAGGTACACGTTCACCAGATATGAGACATTCGACTGGGTAATAAAATAGTAAAATTAGAATTATCATTATTATTGTAACGTTATGATTACAGTAACGCAATTATATGGCCGTGAATAATCTAGTAAAATCTACATATTTTAAGGCTAAAATTACAGAATTATTAACTTACAATCGCACCAGAACCTTTGTCTATATCGAAGACGAAAAATACCACCAACAAAATGGAAAATATCACTAAACAACAATTCTGAAAGAGAAGAAAATAAACTTGACAGTAATGTTCATATTCGAATAACGGAAACAGAAATTTTATCAACTCAAAATATTATCAAACGCAATCCTCGAAACCAACTTTTATTATGAACCTTATCCTATTTAATTTATTGGAGTTTACTACCACACGCCTAGCCGCTACTGACTTAACCAAAAAGTATCTGTAACTCTTGTTTGATATCGTCCAGTAATAATAAATCACTATTTTTGAGGACTTAAGAAAACTGTTGAAGAGTGGAAGAGCAATCCCTCTTATATAAGCATTGCAGACCTTCCTTTACTTGCAGCTTTTAAAACAGACAAAAAAATTGATTAAAAAAAATTATTTCAAGTGCCACAAAAACATACAATAATAATAAAAATGATAAATACCACTGCAGCCACAATAAAAGCTCCAGCATAGTAAGGTATGTCCGTTCCTTTCTCGCTCTCATCCATGTGACCTTTACCTTGAGCCGCAAAGTAAAATAAGGCAATCACCAGACCTAATTGTAACGCTAGTAACACCCCATAAACTATCAACGGCTTTTTTCCTGAAAATATACTTTTCTTATAAAATAGTTATTTTTGAATTTCCCCGATCATTCCTTTGTTACACAAAAAATGCAACAGTTTCAAGGCACAGTTAAAAGAAAAAGATACTCTGACATGTCTGTAACAAACAGACGTAATGCGTTTATGTGATGAAACAAAACAGAATGACTGATGACGAAAAGATGTTCATAAAAATAAACTATTTGGGAATCGCTTTACGAAGATGTATGTAATAAGGCAATATGTATAAAGAACAGCAGTCAAAAGTTGACTTACAACACTTTTAAGTTGATTCAGTTGAAAATTGAATACCGCTCAAGCCGGTGCTAGGGGGCGTGAGGGATGTTGCCCTTTTTTATCCCTCATGTACAGCCTCAATCAAGCAGAGTCTGCATTTTTTAATGTAATTTTGTTATGATTAGTGCTTCCGAATGATCACACTTTTTCCAGATTATTTAACATATGCCGACTTCAAACAAGCAGATAAAAGTTCACAATGTAAACAGAATTGATATTTTCACGGACAAGAAATATTTGTTATGATATTTTGTAAAATGATAGTTATACATGTACTGTTGTAAATATCATTTAAATATTATATATATCATGCAAATGACTTTAGCGCGAATGAAAAATACATGCATAATGTCAGTTATTGTTTTGCCAAGTGTTATTTCATTAAAGTTATCAAACTTTGAGCTTATGCCCATCGATGAACAAAAACACTTGGTTATTCTCAGCGCCTAAATCAATACGTTTGATAATATCATAAACACATTTAAAATAATTTAAATACCAGTACATGTTTGAAAAAGCTGCCTTATATTGTCTTTCATTTATTACATTTTCTATTACGAAGCTCGCAATTTTGGTTTATTAATCAGGAAAGTTATACATTTCATTTCTCTTTATTTCAGCACATATCTAACAACAGAGACTATATCCTTGTCAGAAATCATGTTACAATTAACACTCGGCAAGTAAATATTAAAATTATTTTACTTACCACCACAGTCCATCATTGTTAAATGAATAATCTGACTCAACTAAATAGCCCACACATTGTCCATACTCACAAGTTAAATAAAGTAATAAATGTAATATATTTTCTTCCGGTGCCAGATCGAATATAACTGACATAAAGCACACAAGCAAGGTATTGATGCGTGATACCCTCTTCACAAATCAACTGGTTTACATACTGACTTAATCGATATATCACTATTCATACCATGACAATTAACAAAACACATGTTGTAAGTTGTAAGTTGGAATTCGCACGCTGACTCCTAAATTTTAAAGTTAAACATTTCTTTAAACAAAACGCAATTACTAATTTACAGTGGCTTTTGTGAATTTTAAGTCTTTAAATCTGGTACTCTAAGCAAATTAAACACACTTGCATCTCGACAAACATGCACTTAATTGTAAGACAACTGTCGACGGTGAAAAATCAGTATTATAATTGGTCCAAATCCACTTCGCTTTTGTTTTTGTCTATGACAACAATGAGTCAATCCTGCGGACGATTGTACATGTTATGCGATATTTTGATAACGAATATTGTTAACACCAACCTAAACACTATTCAAACTTCAACCCTTTAAGAATAAGAATCAACGAGAAAAATATAATACAGGGTATAAGATATATACAGGGTGCTGCTATCAGAAAAGGAGTGATTCATCGAAAACAGTGAAAACAATCATAAATAGATGAAAATTCTAAAACAAGTTACAGAAGATCATAAGAAATGAAACATACACACAAGGAAGGAAACATATTTAGTTGGAATGATATCTGGCAAAAGAATCAGTTTAACAATGTAATGAATCAGATCTCAAAACATAATTCATAATATTGTTTTATCATAAAAATGCAAAAATACACAGCTCAATTATGAAAATAAGTTGGTTTAATAAAATCTATGAGAACAATTCATTCCTTTTATGTTTATGTGAAATAGATTCCTGTACATCGGATTTTATGATAAACGCGCCCATCACAATTGAAATTAAGAAAAGAAATCATAATCAACGGAAAAATATCAATAAAATGTGTTATGAAAAGGCTTTGCGCAGGAAAAAACGCTGCATATACGAGGGTGGATAAAAAAACAACGTGGACTTTTCTTATAACTTAAAAACTTCTTGACGTAAATCAATGGGATTTTGTACACATCTTACTTTTGTTATGGTCATAAGATTAACTTGTGTACAATAGCATTTGAGCGTTTTATTTTCTTAACTTTTTGTAACACTAGCTACTGTTATATTACAACACTTTGTCCTTGCTCTCTCCTGTGATTGTTCGGTGCCATACTGGGTTCCGTGTCGGTGGATTAGTATTTCTTGATTTTGTTGAGGGGGGGGGGATCCTTCCTTTGTGGATTTTTGCTCTCATATTTTTGCACATGCACTGATGATTGTGATTGTATACATACAAGAATCTCGTCAACAAAAATATCTTGGCCTTCCTCATTTATGCACAAAACGTGCAGGAGCTTTGACTAAACCACATGGTATTTTTCTGATTGGTATAGTTTCCCCGTCTTTGAATTTATTGATTCTGTTAAAGGCACTTTAACTTAACTCACTTTTTAGTTACTTTTTAATGAGAGTTAAATTGTGGTTGATTTCTCAATTCTTTCTTTTTTCACTTGGAAAGGTGGCAACATTGCGTCAAAATGTACATCTTTTCGAACATGTAGATTTGTTTTGTGTGTGAATATCAATGCGCAATAGGTAGCATATTGATAGCTTTGCATCATTTTAACATATTTTATTTTTTTATTGAAGACCTTTGTTTCATTTATTTATTTAATTCATTGTTTTACGAGACATGTAACTGTGCGCTGCTTTTGTCCATAGTCCATTTTGAATAAAGCCTATTCTTGTCCATTACGTAAGAGCGCTTTAAAATTCGATGTGTCTCCATCGTTCACAATTTTGTTTCAGAAACGATCGTTATAATTTGATTACATTTGTCAGGGATATTTCTTGCATGAAGCTCCAAGCTCTTCAAATAACTTGGATCCGTTTTATATCTGGGTCACTGGAGCTAAACTAGATGTGAACGGAAAACAAGTGCTTTAAAATACCTTCCGAATCCATGAACAGAGAAATTTGTTCTGTTGTATCATCTCGAGCATGTTCATCTCAGAAGCAAAATTAAGCACGCCCCGAAAATCTTTTAAAATCTTATTGCCAGATACAGGAGATACTCTCTGTAACATGGCCTGAAGGACATGTAAAGTACACAAATATACAAAATTTGTTCAAAGCATGGCGCTTGGACATGAATGGGTCACATGCTTTGCTTTAAGTACACGAGGCTGTCTATACTTTCTAAATATAGCCTTGCTAAATGGTATTAATAAAGGCACATGAATCAATCACCACTAATCATTTGGATCAGTTTATCTCTTTGTTGGTGCATAGGAACATTGCATTGACCTCGATTATTGTGCAGCAGAAAGTAACCAAGACTAAAATAGTGTTTGTATTTTTTTCTCCATCTTTCACATAACTATGACTAACAACATGGTACTTTTCATAAAAATATATGTTCACAGTCAGCATTAAACTTTTGATTTAAGTAGCAATTGCAGTAATAAATGTCAAATCGGTCTCCCACGATACCAATAAATTAGAGTATGCCTACCTGTTTCCTGGCAATTAATTAAGATCCCCAGGAGATAAATTACTAGCTCACATGTCTTGCTCGCCAAACGTACAATCTAAGGTTCTTTGACTCAAAGTTGTATATATCCTGGATGCTTGAATCTTTAACATTCCACACTATCATGGATGCTTGAATCAAGTGCATTGTTAGCAGTAGGGTTAAAATAATGACCGAGAGCCTATGGCACTTCAGAAGTTAGGCTTTCATCATTTTCTTATAATTGACTGGCACAAACATCTGCTAGGAGTGGAAATGTTGTAAGACAAACACGCACATTTTTGGAATGATTTCAATTTATTAGTTTTGCTTTCAAAAGATAGGCTATACAAGTCTTTTATGTATTTCAAATAACATAGTTGATCATGGTTTGCAAAATCTGTACATATTATCACCAGCATGGTTGAGACAGATTACAAACATAGAGAACATGTTATATTGGGGAAATTTGAATATAAGTTTAGTGAACCAAAAGAAAATTATCATTTCTATCAGAATTTATTTCATCATTTAGGTGGATACATACATGACTTGCAGAAAGAAAATTTAGCAAAATAGAAACTAAATATTGGAAGAAAATACCATTGTAATTGGGTATTCTTTGATGTTAATAAGGAGAATAGATAGCAAGGAGGGCTGGGTTAAGGTTACAAAAGTTCATGTTTCAAAGAAATAAAAAGAGTTTAAAATGGAGTGAGATTTTCTGCTTACATATGTTTTAGGCTACTGGACAGAATAGTATAAAAATAATGTTACTGTGTTAACAATTCTGTTTAAATGATTTGCATTGTGAATACATGTATAATATTGTGTCGCTTTAGAAACAGCATCAAGATCAATTGAAACTGATCTCTAAAGGAACATAAAAACAAATCAATGGATTAAGAAAATTTGTATAAATCACTTATTAAAATATATTTTAACTATCTATTACTAGTATTCTTCAATATTAAAATTGATTTTTGTGTACTGTGACAATATCATATTGTATTACAATAATTTACTAAATGATCACAGGCAGAAAGTGTGCGCAATATACTTCAAAAACTAAGGAATATATCAAATGTTAAACATATTCATAGGTTTACCAACTTTGTATTTGAGCAGATAATATTTTTAGCATTGAATTACAACAAGCTAAGCGAAGGTTTCCTATCAAAATCTAGGAATATTAATTAGTAATTAAATGCCAATTAATGTACATTAAGGTGGCCATTTATTTCAGGATCAAACTGTACAATAATATGACAGATATGAATGTATGAAAATTTTAACAAAACCTAGCTATCAAACAGTGTGTGTAATATAGCACAAAAATATATAACTTTCTCTGGCAATATGTTACATGAACAACAATTAAATTTGATCATGGTTATATAAATGACAAACATATCAACTGTTTTCCCAGAAAAAAAGGGGTTAAGAGGTCTAAAGCTACAAGCTGGTAACCAAATCTTTTTTGTTCATCATCAAAAAAAACAATGACAATTTTTTCTCCGAAAACAGTTCATACAAAAAATGATTGAACACAATCACTCTGCTAGAAGGGTAAATATATATTAACTGAGTGCATTATGAAAACATGATCCTGGCTATATAAATTATCTACAGTGTTTGTAAGATATTCCTACAAGGCTAAACATCTCATCTTCTCTTACATTAATTTTGCATCTAGATGATTGGGAGGAAGACATTTACAGGAAGTAAAAGTAACTTTGAAAAGAAGAAAAAATTGAAAAATTCTCATTTTCATTTAACAATTAATTTAAACTAACTAATTAACTGTTGACATTCAGTAAATAAACAGGTGCTCTTTGTTCTAGCCTTGAGAATCTCCTACCTCTACATATAAAACATCACTATCAAAACTGAATTCTATATGTTTGCTGCAGTTTCAAGCATAGTTCACACAGGAAATATATTTTGGCATCTTAAAAGATTACAAACTAGACCTGAACTTCTCTAATCACCTATAGATGTCCGTCATTATATAAAACACAGGAACAGAATACAATAAGAGAGGATATAGAAAAACACAATCATTATCTCATACCTGCACCTTTTGAAACGATAAATAGGCACACAAAATACATTTTAGTTGTACATGATTATAATAGGAAGAGATTTATTTTCTTTTTTTTCAAATCTTTTTTTCAACATTTTCACTGTCTGCATTATCTTATTGGTCCCACTTTCGTTACAGGCAGTATTTTTATAGCACTTTCAGTGTATATAAATTCATCATTAACAATATATCTCAACAAATATTTCTTTGTGGAAAACCTCTCAAAGAGTCATATTAAACAATTTTTTTCTATTATAAAAAATATATTTCATTTACTAAATAGGAACTACATCTTTTAGTAATACATGAAAAGATAAAAAATTTTTTCACTTGAACTTGTTCATTCCGGCTATATCATGCATATAAAAGCTAACATAAATGATCCAGCAAAGTATTAACAGTATTGGTGGTTTACAACCAATGATCAACCTGGAGTTTATCTCTCTATTAAACAATACAAATTATTTCTCTAGCGTTTACACAAGTATATAAATATAAAACTTCTATAAACCATCATATATTTCCCCAAAACACTAACAAAATTACATTCTCAACAGCCAAAATCGTTCAAGCATGTATATATATTGTCTACTCTTAACAAATAATATTTCTCAAAAATTCCTATTTTGTTTACAATGTATTCAGATGATACTTGAAATCAGAGATATGAAAGTTGTCTAGCTGGCGTGCACAAGTTCCTGGTTTTATTTCCTGTCTTCCATTCTCGTTTCTTTGTTTCTTTTAGTGAAAGGTGTACAAACAGTCTTCCTATACAACATAATATACAGTCTACTATGATATGATTATTACATTGATTCAAACTCATCAACTCTTTTCTTTGTGTTACCAGAACGGATTTGCTTCAATGTTTTATATTTATCACGCCCTTGCTTTACGTTTTCAGCGTGTAGAACATCGTTGCGCGTCTGTTTGTTTTCATCCTTGGTGGTCTTTAGCTCTGCTTGTAAAGCCTACAACAGGTAAATATATAAATTACATGAAAACACAATTACATATAAATAATGAAATAACACAGGTAAACATATAAATCAAAACTTCTTACAAAACAATATTTCGTCAGTTGTCTTTAAACATATGTGTATATCAATTACTTACTGAATTGATTTAAATATTTCTATATATATATGTAAACACGTGTTGCTTACTTCAACACTTAATGGGACTACCGTCAATACCTGATGAAATCTCCGTAAGGAAGCCTTAGATATATCACCCACAACTTAGTTGTTTTTTTTTTTAAATATAAAAACACAACAAAAGAACACACAGTTGCCCTGTGCTCCTTAAGAGGACTTCACTGAGTTTTTTTTGTGTCTTTGTCAACATGGCGTGATCAAGACATATTTTTACAACATTTCTGTAGCATTTGATTTGGGTTTGGACAAATCACTCAATTTAAAAAAATCATATCATTTACTCAGGTTTTCTTTGAGTAGTTTTTGACATTTATGAAAAAGATGCACATTCTTTTAACAGAAATTGGGCTAAAAATTGCATCAAAATAAGGTTTTCATTTGTTTAATAGTACATTTATGTATTATCTTTTGCATAAACATTGTATTTCTGTTTTAAGTACCCAGTTGATCTAGGTTTATGTTTTTAGGCATATATCTCCTGGGAGTTCCTTCAATAACACTTTCTATTCATTTTCTAGTATATCAAATCAATTACAGAACTGTCAAATAATTATAAAATCTAAAATTACTCAACCTGATGAAAGGCTGACCACAACTGTTATATTCATTTCTATTACTTGAAAATATCTATAGCATTATTTTAACTTTTAAGTGACATTATGCCCATCCAAAAGTATAAAGTGAGTTAAAAAAAAATAAAGACATTTTGTCACGATTCCTTACAATTTTTATAATTAACTTCGCGTTAACGATAAATTACTTGCATGGCCCAAGGTAATTTCTATAAATATCTGTTGGAAATTACATGCAACATTAAATTTATAAAAAGAGTGGGACGGTCTTTTTATAGTTTAGACAGATTCATATTTTATCCTAAACATTTTCCACTATCAACTGTTGGTAAGTTATCATTAATACAGTCAATGGTTTGAAATATATTTTTAATTCAATCCACTTGTGAATGAAAGAATGAGCAGTAATGTCACTTTAAACTTTAAGGCAAACAAAGATACCAGTACCACTAATAGGTATGTCATTGAACATGAGCACACAGCAAATGTTCTATGTAACAAAAACAACAAACACATATAAGATTACCTAGATTTATTAGTTTTGCTTTCAAGAGATAGGCTATACAAGTCTTAAATATATGTCAAGTAACAAAGTTTGATCATGGTCTGTGAAATCTGTACATAGTATATCACCAGCATGATTGAGACATGGCGTAATTGTGTAATATAGGAAGATTGAAACATCTAAATAATCATGATAGGTGAGTGTAAAGTAAAATCATCGTTGCTAAACTAAGGTTTTATATCAGTATAGATCATTGTATTGATATGTAACTAACATACACAGTCAACTAAACCTGGTTACAATAGGACAAAATATCAGAATTGATTTGAAACAGAGGAAAAGGACAGCAAGAAGGAAGATTGGAAATATTAAATAATTACTGGCAAATTGGTTGTTCTATTAAATAAAAATTTGTTTTACTCCAGAAATAGACAGTGTTACTCCCTGTTTAAGATACATTTAGAATAAAAATAACACAAAATAGTATTAACAATTCTGTTTAAATATTGCATAGTGAAAACAACTATTCTGTTGCTATAAAGGCACAGAGATATCAACGCCGAACATTGCTTGTTACCATAGCAACAGAAAAAATTTTAATTACTCTACATACTAAGTTCATATAAACTCTAAATTTCATGACCTACCAAGATTTTTATCTTGTTCTAGACATATAACACACAGTGCAAAGTGTATTGCTGCAATAGAACTACACAAAGTACGGTAGAATTTGTTCACTTCAGAGCATGTATTTGACTTCGGGTAAAACTCAATATTCTATTGCACTCGTATTAGAGAATCTGCTCACAATTAAATATGTGCAATGTAAGTTAGCTACATAGGCACCTGTACATATATATCATGATACCAGGAAGGTATCTGCATTATATAAACAAAGCTAAGCCATTATTTCCCTACTAAATACTATCTTGTTATCATTAGTTGTGAAACACCCCCAACCCCCTTCATATGAAACTAGGTGGCTTGTCCTAATATATGAACATGAACAAATTCAAATAATCATTATGTTAAAGATATATATAAATGTATATAATTATATATCACAAAAATATATATATAATTCTCTGGGCATTTTCTCTATATGGACAAAACAATTTGATTACGATACAATACAATAAATGACAAAATAATGACAATTAACATTAAAAAAAGTCTTATCCTTAACATCTTTACTAGTATAACTGCAATAATTGTGCCGAACTTAAGGTTATCAATTTCCAAAAGTACAATACAAGGCTTTACTGAATTCTTGTACAACCACTGCATTCACAAAATAAATCGATGCAGTCATTTGTAGAAGCCGTTCCCAGGTACTATGTGCATTTCAATAGATTAAAGTTACATGAAAGTTTTGGTGAAATGTTAAGTGTACTCCTCGTTATATAATTTTATAATAAAGTTACGGCATGGAGATTACAACATCTCAAATTGGTCGACTCGGTTCTTCGTGTTACCGGAACGGATTTGCTTCAATGTTTTATATTTATCGCGTCCTTGTTTCACGTTTTCAGCATGTAGAATATCATTGGCAGTCGGCTGTTGTTTTTCATCCTTGGTCTTTCTAAGTTCTTCCTGAAGAGCCTATAAATATCAGAGAGAAAAAATTATTGTATGTTTTACATTTGTTAATTATCTATGTATGTAGTCTATGCTTAATGAGGGTCCATCCGCCCGTAAGGGCACAAAATGCAGCTTTCACTGTTGAGTACGGACCCCGGACATGTCACCATTAATGCCCTAAAAGAGTTAATTTTGAAACACACAGTGGTGGTAATTTACCTCCATGCAATTTCCACGGAGTATTAGCCAAAGATATGAATTTGTTAATTATCAAGTCCTTTATTTTTACCATACAGCACTGTTTAAATAAGAAGTGTTTGCCAAATGACAAGTCATGTTTAAATTATGACTGTTTCAAATATATTGAATTTCAGAGAAATAATGTGCTAAATTTGGAAACCTGAAGACTATTCTGAATAAAACTATCTTGATACGAGGTCATATTACCAGCGTAAAATTTTCTTCACAAAATAATGATTTATAGTAAGGTAAGATACCCTTGAAGCATATTTCATGGAAATTTCCTGGCAATTTTTCATTTACTTATTATTATTATCATTTTAAGATACTCATGTACATCATTACTCGACAAGATATAAGGAACAGTAATGTTTACGTCTTGTTGTCATTACTTCTAGATCTATTCATATATCAATAAGATATATCAACAGTTGCATCTTTAATGTTAACAATATAGCAAAGAATTTGACTTCCAACTGTACTTAACTATAAAATTGTGTTCTTATGACTCAAAAGTAGTTTTAAGAAATATCCAACCAAATTTTATTAGTGATAGATATATACTCATATTAGTATAGATTCTTAAATGGATGCTTAATTTAATAAATATTTTATAAAGAGATATATGTGTTATATTCAAGACTGAGATATCATTCAACAACATGCACAGCTGGCAATAGGTACTAACAAACAAGGCTGTATAGAGCATTTCATGCATGCATGTCTAGGTATTTTCTTTATATGAAATGTTTCCAAATTTGTGGCATGCATTTTACTAAAATTCTCAGTTCATTACAGTTTGACCATTACCTTAACTTGTACATTATGTTTTGCATGTAATTGTTCTGTGCATTGGGAATTTCAGACAACCTTCCAAAAATTGTTTTCAAAAGATAACACATGTGCCCACCATTTGGAATATTAGCATCAGTCTTGTCAACTTAAGACCCAAGTTCATAATGTTTTGACAGTTACATCTATAAATTTGCTCTAAAATTGTTTTCCCAGTATTAAACTTTTAACAGTGCAACGAAAAACCACATGTATACATGCTTGAAGGTAAAAACATTCAAACAAAAATATAAGGTGCATATAAAAAATCAAGTAACTTAAAGAAGACAAAAAATATCCATCAAGGTTGTTTACTTTTATTTATGTTGATTAGGTTTTAAGTTACACAGACACTAAATGTCATAACATAACTTTCATGCTATACTGGTCAAGGACAAACTCAAAATCTCTCTCAGTATGATCAGGCATGCTAGTAGAACCATCTTAAATAACAGCAATTTACATGGGCAGATATTTTTACGAATTATATAGTACACATATAAATTAATCTATAATAAAACTACTCAAAACTATTAAAAAATTTTCTATAAAATTTAAACAAATATATAAAAATAGACTGGTTAATAAGGAAAGTGACTGGGTTAACAAGGTTAATGGAGGTTTGGTGAATGAAAAACATTTGTTAAAATACACACAAAAAATAGGTTAAACAAAAGCGGGTTAAAATGCACACCATCTTTTTTAGTAACAAGCTCTCGTAGCGCATTGTTCTATATGGCATATCATAAGAAACATAATTGAAAAACATATAAAAACCAGTTGTTAGTTGCTCTTTGCATTTACAAATGCTAAATAATTGCAAAACCTACCTACAAAGCCCAATACTGATCACGTCTCTGTTCAAAACCTGCGATCATTTTCTTCTAAACGCGATCCCCGCAAATACTTCCATATTTATTTTGCATTTTTTATGTATCAGATGGATTATGTATATTTCAAAAATAAAGATTAATGTCTTAAGGAAATTTATGTCCAGAGGAAAAGGAATTTTATAAAAAAAACTTTAATTTTGTAAAATATTTCAACAGGTTTGTTTTATGTGTAGCAAACTTGAGAATATTTCAAAATCTGGACCAGAACTTGTTCCTTTAACCTGGTATATGCAGTTCATACAGACTAAATTCCTACAATCTTGACCAATTTTGTTTCACAATGCATTATTTAACAACATAGCCAAAAAGTAAGGAATATCAGAAGATTATAGTGGAATTATGATTTAGGACAGAGGAATATGTATTCCTTATTTCCGGAATAATTCTTCACAGTTCATAAAGCAGTTATAATGGTGGACATTAAGCTACAAGTGTTTAGGAAAATCAACAAGTATAACAGTCAGAGAAAGGTAGTGTCATCTTAATGACTTCTAAGCAAATACTGTATAAGTCCATATATCCCTAAGAACTTGTATTATTATGTCAGGAGACTTAGAAACAAATTTTTCAATTAAGTTCACAACTCTTTATGCTAGCCTACTCGTCAAATCTAATTAGTATCATAAAAAGTAGAAGATTTTCTTAAATGTTACAATGTTCATACACTTCCAATTTATAACAAATACTCTTATCAAAATATATCAAAACACTTAATGTCAAAATTTAAATACCAGGAAATTGTGAAAACTACAGTCTAGTGAAAATACAGACTTATACAGTTTTTTTTATTAAAAAGGATGTTTTAGGAACATGTTTTTATCATCAAACAAAGTGCTTTGAAAACTACATGTAGGTTTTAAGAGAAAAAGACAAAAAAGATTTGTCATGAAAGACAAGTGCCAGGCCCCACAGCATCATCTGATTAGGCAAAGTTAAAGGCAGCTAGTGGACAGATTAGAGGTGCAATGTATTAGAAGACAGTAGATATATTACCAGGAGTTGTTCTTGTAGCCTCTGATTCTTCTCTATCTCGATCATTCTATCTTCCTCTGGTCTAGGTAAACCCTGCAAGCTCTCATCAACTTGTAGGTTAGCATCTGAAAACATATCATTGAGTGTTTTTTTTTTCTTGTTTCTACAAATCATACACCACAAATTTGAGTTTAAGGTTACACTAACACTTTTAAGTCATATAGCCACTTTCCAGGTGGAGAAATCTCCTGGTACCCTCCATACATTATTTCTGGCACAAGTGGAGACCTTAGTAAAGCAAATCACCTGCAGTACACAAGTCGGTCAGAATCCTCACATGAAAGGGGTGTAAGTCAGCAACCCTAAAAGACATGGCAACTTTGGAAAAAAATAACACTTGTCAATCAATATAATCACAGATGATGACAATGATTTAACCTCCCTGCTGAAGGCGAAAGTGATTAGTCTTTGCCACCAGTATAGAGCCAGGCCAGCCCTGCACGTTCGTGCAGTCTGACCAAGCTCCATACTGTTGGCTTGCACACTTCAAATTCTCACCTTGATATACCTAAAATTGATAATGGACTGTTCCAAAATGGAAATTGGAAAAGTCTATTTAAGAAATTCAGCAGATTATTATACCTCCATGTTCCTGATCTTGATCACTTTCCTCATCTTTGACATGCATCTGTGACATAGCCTGGCTAAGTGCCTGGGCCTGTTCTTGTGCCTCGGCCAATGCATTCTGCATCTGACTCATCTCCTCATCTTTGTTCTGCAGTCTAGATTCACTAGCTTCTATCTCGGCTCTTGCTTCAAGGAACTCTCTCTCCTGTAATACAGTAACAAAACAATTATATGTTGATATACCCTTTTAAGGCATGTAAAAACATGTAAGCCATAAGAACAAGCCTTAGTTTATCAACATCTTCAGCTTCATATTCCTGTATGTTTGTCATATATCACGAGGAGTTACTTATTTCCTATTAACAAAAATGCCCCCATATATTTTCCTCCATTTCCTTTATTATTTGGAAGATACCTGTTAAACTTGCTTTATCAAGCAATCTTTCCCCACTAATTTTTAATCACTGTTTTCAAACAGATCCCTGGACAACAAATGAATATCCTTAAAACCTTTCTTAGACAGTGGCAACATTTCTTCAGCATATCCATCAATCTACTCTTTTTTTTATTATTATTATTTTTTCTTGACTAACATATTGCACTTTTTAGCTATTTTGAAACTGACAATTTCATAAATCAGTAAACATTAGATAACACTGTACACTGTTACAAACATACCAGCCTAGCTTTCTCCTCTTCATGCATATTAGCTGTCTCAGCAAGTTGAGCTTCTAGCTCCTCAGCTTTACGTTTCTGTCTCTCAATATCTTCCTGTGCCTGCTTATAATCCTCTACAACCTTCTGAAGGCCTTCAATACGAGTGTTTGACTGTTCTAGGGCTGTGTAACAAATAGAATATATTCAACTAAGTTATGTTATCTCTCCTATTTATATACTTAATCTTTTAAACAATAATCAATCATTATCAACATAGTTATAGAGTAGCAGTGGTAAAGGATTGCAAGTTTGAACCCTACTAGTGTCAGGCTTATTCACATGATAAGTTCCAAGAGGCAGACTGGAAAGTGGTCCAAAACTCATAAAGCTTTTAACACAGTTGAGTTATGAATAAATATGTTTGAAACTACCATAGTTGTACTAGTATATAACAGATATATAACAGATTATACACAAAAGAATAAACAAGATCATCATGACTTTGAAAATTCACCACTCTATTGTTAACCTGCTCATTGTGTAATGTTTCACTCAGTCAATAAAATGATATGATATGGCAACAATTTGATACAACCAGATACTGACAGTTATGTCCCTTGTCTATTTCTCAGTAAACAATATTCCATTTATATAGACAACAGCATGCTAATTCAATCTTTACCTTCTCTGTTTCGTTCACTTTCCTCCCTGTATTGTGCCAACATTTCTTCCAGTTCCTTTCTCTTCTGTTCAGCATCATCACGTTTTTGTCTCTCAATCTCAAGGCGAGCTTTTTCTGTCTGTTTGGCTGTTTTCTCTTCTCTTGCCTGAGCCTTCATCTGCTGTACTTCTATAGTGTCTGGTTTCCTTCTACGCATGTAAAGTTCATGGTTACCCATACATAATGCTAATATACGCTTGTTGATTCGTAATCTAGGTGCATAAAATACAAAGTCCTGAAAAAGAACACACAAAAGTTTAAAACACACACACACACAAATATTATTTCATTTTTGTTTCTCAAATTGCAAAACACATAAAATGTTGTACAGAAATAATGAATGCAAATAAACCAAAAGCTATGTTTTACTATCATGCATGATGAAATAAAAGACAACTAGAAATGTGTCCATAGGACACAGGTGCCCCCACCGCGCCACTGTTCTGTCAATCTTTTTACTAAGTCAAGGGAAATAACTCTACAAATACTGGATAAATCCACAAGCGAAACCTAAGGTGCAAATGTAAATATGCTGAGCAACCTGCCCATAAGGTTTAATTAATGACTATGTCAAATCCTTTTTGAGTAACTTGCGACACAAGTTGAAAATTGCAAAAATTTTCTAAGTGAAGGGCAATAACTCTAAAAATACTAAATAAATCCAGACGAAAATATCTGATGCACAACTGCACATGCTGATCAACATTCCTGTAAAGTTTCATGACTCTAGATCAAATACTTTTTGAGTTACATGCGACACAAGTTGAAAATTGCAAAATTTTACTAAGTCAAGGGCAATAACTCTGAAAATACTAAAAATATCCAGACGAAAATACCCAGGTGCACAACAACACATGCTGATCAACATTCCTGTAAAGTTTCATGACTCTAGATCAAATACTTTTTGAGTTACATGCGACACAAGTTGAAAATTGCAAAATTTTACTAAGTCAAGGGCAATAACTCTACAAATACTGAAAATATCCAGACGAAAATACCCAGGTGCACAACTACACATGCTGATCAACATTTCTGTAAAGTTTCATGACTCCAGGTCAAATACTTTCTGAGTAACATGCGACACAAGTTGAAAATTGCAAAATTTTACTAAGTCAAGGGCAATAACTCTGAAAATACTAAAAATATCCAGACGAAAATACCCAGGTGCACAACAACACATGCTGATCAACATTCCTGTAAAGTTTCATGACTCTAGGTCAAATACTTTCTGAGTAACATGCGACACAAGTTGAAAATTGCAAAATTTTACTAAGTCAAGGGCAATAACTCTGAAAATACTAAAAATATCCAGACGAAAATACCCAGGTGCACAACTACACATGCTGATCAACATTCCTGTAAAGTTTCATGACTCTAGGTCAAATACTTTTTGAGTTACATGCGACACAAGTTGAAAATTGCAAAATTTTACTAAGTCAAGGGCAATAACTCTGAAAATACTAAAAATATCCAGACGAAAATACCCAGGTGCACAACTACACATGTTGATCAACATTCCTGTAAAGTTTCATGACTCTATGTCAATTACTTTTTGAGTTACGTGCGACACAAAAGTGAACGGACGGACGGAAGGATGGAAGGACAGACGGACAAGGGTAAATCTAAATGCCCGCCACTAACGTGGGGGCACAATAAAAAGTTAGAATTTTGCATAATGAAAAACATTTCAAAATTATTTAAATTTCATTTTAAAAAGAAAAGCTGATAGGATCATTTTGTTCTGTATGAAAGTTTAGGATAAAAACATTGGGTAAGTGAATTAAGGGATGTGCATGAGGTAGGTGATAAGTGATTGAAGCAATTCTTAACTTCTTCAAAATAGCTGCATCAACATTGAACAAGGGAGGATATTATTTATAAACAAAGGGGTGTTTATTTACATATAAATGACTAGATCAGCTAATCCAATGTATAAAGTAGAAGAAAAACATGTAGTAATAATGATCCATTAAAGATAATGATTTACATAATATCTAAGAGCATGCAAGTCCAGAAATATTTTTACTTGTTAAGATTAGACAACAAATTTGAAGAATCAATATATATTTCAAACTTCCTATATGAATGAGAAGATATGCTTAAATAAAAGAGATAAAATTTCAAGCATAAACAGACTATTTACAAAAAATTACAAAATTTTACTGTTATTAAAGGTGATTTGAGCCGTGTCACGACAAAACCAACATAATGGGTTTGCGACCAGCATGGATCCAGACCAGCCTGCGCATCCGCGCAGTCTGATCAGGATCCATGCTGTTCGCTATCAGTTTCTCTACTTGTAATAGGGTTTGTAAGCGAACAGCATGGATCCTGATCAGACTGCGCGGATGTGCAGGCTGGTCTGGATCCATGCTGGTCGCAAACACATTATGTTGGTTTTGTCGTGTCATGGCTCATTTAATGTCATAAGGAGGTTTATTTCAGATATATAGGAAATATATAAAACAGATATGGATTTATGCTTTTTCTAACCTTAGATGGTGCATGGGAGGAAAGCATTTAGTGTACGGTAGAATGATTCATTAGAACAGAAGCATAGCACATTCTTTGTGCTATGATATCTTTATTAAACAGTGTTTTGAACCCTAATACTTTAACCTGAAACATTATTTCTACATGAAAGCATTTAATTTTAGCCCTAACAATGCTGGAACCAAAGTTGCAAACCCTTTGACACAGGTATATTACCAGGCTAGCTAGCACACCTGTGCAGTCAGACTGGGTTCTATATTGTTGACTGACCAACTTCACATTTTCATAAATACACCCCTTAAAATTAATAACACTGTTCCAAAATGCAAGTCTTATATGTTTAATTTTGAAATGCCAGCAAATCTAGTGTTAAATCATTGTAACACTGTAGGTGATAAGGTAACTGTCACAGGTGCCCATATGTGTATCATTCCAGACATGAGGAAGCACCTAGATAAAACATAAGGTAGCTTGGATACCTGCCTCATATTGAAGGGAACATAGCCACACAGACTTTGTGGGTGGGGTAGTTATTACAGTCAGCAAACGCAAACTCCTAACCCTTAATTTACTAATAGAAATTTTAAAGTTACATTAAAGATATAATATAAATATATAAAGATATTTGGCATGCAAATAAGACAATTTATTTTGTCTACAGAAGACATGCAGTTACAAAAAAGATTTCTTGTTAAATCAAATAAAAACTGACATCTCTTGCCGCTAACTCTAGCCATCTTTTTGTCATTTAAATAATTTGTGACAAACGTATTTAAGTGATAGATTAAAATTAGAATAACTTATCTAAACTTTCACTTTACATTTTAAATGTAGGTGCAAATTACAAAAACACAGTATTTTATCTGCAATTTACATGACAAACAAGTCAAACTGCAAAGTAACCAAAATATGGCCACATTGTGATAAGATACGGAATAAAATATAAACAAAAATCTGGCACAATGACTAAAATACGTTTTTCTATGTTTTATTTCATTAGTCACAGTATATTTTTATTCTTAATCATGACTAATTGCTTTATCAGACAAACCTTATTAAGTAAAGTTTGCAGTTATGACTGTATAATTGAATCACTGCTTGAAATAGCTCATGACACTAACATGTTTTATCTCTTTACTGGGTGGCCCCACAATAATGTTACATATCTTTTTATCCAATACTTTTGTATGATTGTTTATAAATGCAATAAATTAAAGATATACTATTCTCAAACTTGGTATTTGAAAATATTGTTGATTCCTAATGGTCTTTTTTGTAAAAAAAAACAACAACAAAAAAAACAAACATGTTTCGACTTCACACAAAGGAATGATGAAATTCTTTAAACCCTACACACTATCAGTGACACACTATGAATAAAGGTGTCATTAAAAAAACTGGCATTTTTTTTTAAAGGACCAACTTTACTTGACCCGAAATAAATAATAAGGATTGCAGATTCCCATACATAGTTTGTGTGTTCTTTTTGTTAAATATGACATATTCAGTAAGAATTTTATAGATTTCAATAAATTTCTGCAATAAAAATATTTTACTGAAAGATGGGCATAGTATATCTTTAATAGTAATAAAAAAACCTATCTGTACTTTTGAACCTTATCTATTTGTTATGTGAACAAAATAGTCATTTTTATCTTTCAAATAATAACCAACAAACAAACAATAGATAAATAAAATTGTGGTTTAAACATTAGCTGGAGATAAAGCAATAATGTGGTCAACCCTAGATTTCGGTATGAGCCATTTCAACCAATGTATAAAGCAGGTACAGGGAAGTTATTTCTGGCTATTCTATTACACACACACACATATATATATTATACATTGGGTTATCCCCACTTACAGGTGCTCGTCTATCTATTGGCTTAAGGATAAACTTTTTGTCATTAAAAGAAATGTTCCTTATCTCACTCCAGGGGAATCCAACTTTTGGTGTTAGTCTGTAAGAAACACAGCACACAAAATTTACAACAAAACTCTACAATACTAGAATATTAAACTAAATCAAACTATATCATTGCCCAACATCAAGTTATTCTGATCTCAAATCATTTAAATCTAGGCTTTGCAGATATTAACAAACCGAACCTTCCTCTTCAACATCTTTTTTTTTTTCTTTTCTATTTTAGAAAATAAATTCAGTTTGATATCTGTACATCGTAATTGTTGCCAAACAAATCTCATTTTAGCAGAACTAAGCCTAGCAACTTGTGCTTCTATCTATTATAACATGACCCAACTTTTAAGACATGTTTATAAAGTTAACTCAACAGCTTCCAATGATTTGAGGTCAGAACAAGATGACACATTCACCATAGTTACAACAACTGTCTACACGTGCAGGGGTACTTACTGGTGCCTTTTTATCTATTGGTTTAATGACAAACTTTTTGTCGTTAAAAGATATGTTTCTGATTTCACTCCATGGAAACCCAATTTTTGGTGTTAATCTGCAATAGAAATCTTTCTGTGAAATCAACACTTTATAATACTGTTACTGAGGGAATTTTCAAATTAGAAAATTACCTTGTTAAAGTTCTCATATACACTCAATCTTACAAACTATAAATCAAACATCTCTGCTGTTCAACACATTAAAAGATAAAGTATGTACAAGGCTTTTGACATTTCTTTAATTTACACATAAAAATCATTATTTTCAAGTCTAAAATGAAAATGCTTGAAAACTATGAATGTTAAGTCTGTAATGGTCTTTTTAAAAATTGTCATAATTCAACATGCTGCACAATTTTATAATATGTGTTTTTACTTAAAAACAAATATCTCATCTAAAATATACATAACATTATATAAAATCCTGAACATTGAAACAGCTGTTTCTGTCAGATATCTGTAATAAAACTGGACATGATTTATACAATTGACAAAAATCGTAACCAAGTGCACCAGAATTAAAATATCTATATACTGAAAATTTACTGTCTCTATCATAATATGTAACAGATTGTAAAACTAATTACAGCAAAAATAGAGATTCTGTAATTAATCAGTTGAGTTGTTCACATGGGAACATTGACAAATACTTGTGTTTTTTATCAAAGTTAAACAAAACAATTAATTTCCAGAATTATTTCCCGAGGGAGAAAAGTAATTGATAATTATCTGTCAGTGTTGAGAATCAACATATGATACACTGGTGTATCTTAGAATCAATGAAGTATACATTAATTATGGTGTATAAATATAAATGACAATGGGAGCACTGGTCTTGTGGTTAAGGTCCTTCTGGCTCCACGATCATGTTTCCTCATAATAACACTAGTGTTGATTAGTAAGACGAAGCAGAGTTAAGAGAGGTTTAAAAAAGTTTCAAGCTTTTGTTACAAATAAGTTATAATCAGTAAGTTAAAACTTTAATCACCACTGTCACCTTACCTATCTGAACTTTCATATACATTGAGACCAAGGGCATCAACACCTAATAGCAGATCTGTTCCTTTTTTGTTCTTGATTTCAAAATAATTTACTCCATACATCTCCAAATCTTGCGCAATCTTTAAGTATTCCATCATTGCATCTTCCCTGAATATAAAATTCTTTCGTTATTGTTTTGTTTCCTATAGTGTGACATTTGTAGCAAGGAGAACACTTCTAGATATATGGCATACATATGTTCTAATACAATTAATAGTAATCCATTAATGTAACAGACTTGAGTGCTCTTCACTGGCTAGAAATTAAGTGCTGCAAACATATGGTTTTAAGAGTAGTCATTTTACTAAACTGTACTTTACCAAACAAGAGTAGCAAATACTCGAACATTATTTTCTCTTTCAGTAGCTGACAATGTTTGTATAACTCAGTAATTATCTATACAATAGAAGAAAACTTTCTTCCTTAATATTATTTATTACAGCAGGATGTACACAATTTTATTTAGGTTTTGTCATTGCAGGCTACTGAAACTGGCAGAATACTGAAACTGGTTTAGTTGCTACATCAAGAAATGTTGTATATTTTCAGCTCACCTTAACATGCCTCTATGTTCAGCATACCAGTTCCTGATCCTTTCCTCCCATTGTTCTCTGGTTAACTTGTGCTGGGTGAACACTCTATCAATACATTATAACATATTATGTTAATATTCTATTACGTTAATATTCTATCTAAACATCACTACACAGTCTAAGGGGAGCATAGTCTTTATACTGACTTTTTTACTTGCAGAAAATTGCTTAAACGGCAGCTACTAAAATTCAGACCCTGGGTCCCCCCACCAGACATTGTATTTTATGATACATTGCTAAGTCATATTGATAATGTAAAGATGTTATTGCAAATGTCCAGCATTAGTGTTTGAGGAAGATTTCGGTGCCACTTCATGCATTATTTCAGACACATGTTGGTACAAGAATAGAAACATCAACATTTAGTGCCAGCATAATATAAACTATAGTCATTGAAAGGCAAATGGTTTAGCCAGAGACCCCTTCGTTATAGATGTCACAGTAACACTTTAAACATGGTTATGAACACATGTATACAATACTGAATATATAACACAAATATTGAGCTAATGTGTATGCTAACTTTATATCATTACACAGCAAAGCTAGCCTGTACTTTAGGAAAATCTTATCAGACCTTGAACTGTTTTCTTAACAATACATGTATAAGTATTTGATCTTAAAGTCTCGTAAATCAACAATACATAGTTTAATATACTGGACAAGTCAATTACTGAAATACAAGAACAGAGAGAAAAACTGGAGGTTTGATTGACATTTAAGTATAACATCTGTAGTAAAAACATGTATATATCTACACAGATGGTTCATCTGCCAAACACTCATTTAATTGTATCTATATTCAAGTTAAAATATATAAAAGATCTTGATCATTCTGCAGTTCAAGCTGATCAAATTAAAATAACTTTATCCTTTATCTTACATCCCTACAATAGTTTTATGAAGAGGAGATAACTCTTGATACCTTTCAGGCAGTATACGTTCATTAGCAAGGAAGCCTTCGATGTGAACTTCTGCATTATAGTCTCCATATTTGGCCTGACAAGCGTATGACGCCAACAATACGGAGGTCTCAGGTGGGCAGTATATCTCATCATTGAGAATACCATCTTTTACTTGTAAATAAAACATTTTCTGGAAAAAAACAAAACAAAGAAATACAAGTATAAATAAGTATGAAAGTTCTTTTTCAATATTAAAGTGGGGTACTTGACATTGTATTTACTTTTTTCCCCTCCACATACTAGAAAAACGGAAACAAGTCGCCATAAACTGCACAGATCTGATAATACCTCTTTACTTAATTTCATTGCTTAAATTAGATTTAGAATTATAAAGTGATGAATCAGGAAATGTTAAATATGATTCAGTTTCAAATTAGTTTTGGTCTAATGAACTTTTATATGGCAAACAAAAACTATACTTTACATAGGTTACGGATAGATTTTACATACTGCAGAATAACTGATGTTTTACATTCAGCCAGCCACTGCATGTTTAATTCACTATAACCTTGATTATAGATATTTAATATGAGCCGCGTCATGACAAAACCAACATAATGGGTTTGCGACCAGCATGGATCCAGACCACCCTGCGCATCCGCGCAGTCTGATCAGGATCCATGCTGTTCGCTATCAGTGCCTCTACTTGTTAAAGGGTTGGTAAGTGAACAGCATGGATCCTGATCAGACTGTGCGGATGCGCAGGCTTATCCGGATCCATGCTGGTCGCAAACCCATTATGTTGGTTTTGTCATGACGCGGCTCATATAAAGTTACCTGTGTAATATCTTGTATAAGTTCTTCTGAGACATCCTCGGGGAAGAATTTGGCACGGAATTTAAATTGTAAAGGTGTCTCCTTCTTGACATCTTGACTTAATACCTGAAAATACACAAAATAAAACATGTCATAAAATATTCTTACTAAAAGAATACAAATTTTATTTCCCATTTATTCTCAGTAACATATTGCAAGCCGACAGCAATACTTGTTCACATGTGGCACATTCATACAGTACTAACTTCATATCTTCTAGAACCTGGAATTATTTTATGGCAGAACGAAAACTGTAAATGCTTAGATAATTTATTATTTTATAACATCAGCAGCAATTTTATGGACCTAATTTTGGTACAAATATAATGAAATGTAAGATTCTTGCACATGTATATATGATCTGTAGATTTAGAGGACTGGAATGCATGTTTAGGGAAATATTTTCAAGATTGTAGATTATACAATTGACAGTTGACAGAAGTTCATCATATACAGTTTCATGTTGACAAGGAAGAAGCCTGTTACCCTGGTTACATATCTGCCAATGACCTTGATAAACCAATCTAGATGATGACTTCCTTATAAACTAAAGTAGGTTAACCGAGACAGTTACAAACACACACAAATATTGCAACAAAATATTTCTAAAGCATCTTATTTCGCTGACATGTAAAGTATTTCAGACAAGCATAAATTTAATATGTTCATCAATGCATGAATGTATGAGAGTGGAGGTCTAAGTTAATACACCGTGCTATATGCAACAATCACCTACATATAACAAGTATGATAAAGTCAACAACTTACCTGACAATACAGAAATGAAGGATTTAATGACACTGTTTAACTGACATACAAACAAACTTAGTGCAGAATTAGGAAAGTAAATATAGACTTGAAAACCAACAGATTTTTATCTTTAATTTCAAACTTCTTGCTATCATTAAGTTGTGAATATTTCAACCCCAAAATTTATTTCACATGCTCCAGATTCAACATTGACAAAGTCAGTTTATGGCAGACTATTAAATGTATAAAGGATGAATTTTATGTACTTTTAAAACTTTTATTGCAAAAATTCAGGTATAAAAGTACCAGTTTAAACCAAACCCTTTCATTCACACCCCTTCAAGCCAGTAAAGACCATTAACAGTGTATTTTTTTGTATGTAACTATTTATGACAGTGAAGATATTTAAAATGTAGACATTAAAAGAGTGGGTGATTTAACCAGACAGAGAAAGGTTTGAGTGAAGCCGACATCTAGATTGATATAACAGCCCTAAAGGCGTACAAGTCAAAATGTCAGTTATACTGTCCGTTCATTATAACATCATCATTGAAATATTAACCAATCCATATATCAAACATTGACAGGCTGTAAATACTGCAATATATAACATGTACATACAAACAATCACCTTTATTGTATCAAAACTTACCCTGTATACCATTATCATACATCATACACCTGTATTCACCTGTAGCCTAATAACTTTTCATGCAACTTTTCATACCAGAGTTTTATTTTGACTGAAAGTAATCTTTTATTGAGATTCTTATAACTTCTACTCAGACATTCTCCTGTTTATATGTCTGTACTGGCTGCTAGAAAAATGTTTTTGTGACTATTCAATCATCACAAACATCATATTATGATCGCAACATTCATTCATTAATGAAAAAACTTCATTAATAGATAAATCACCATTGTCAGTTATGATCTAAAAACTACCAGCAAGAATAGAGAACTACCAGCAAGAATAGAGAACTACCAGCAGGAATAGAGAACTATCAACAAACTAATTGAGCATCAATTATCATGATAACAAAAGGATTAGATATCCAACTTGATACATACATCATGTTTCCTTAATGTAAACCTGGGCAGTATTGTCTCTAAACTTTTGATACCAGTAATCTGGTGACATAAAACACCAGGTCAGATAAATGAGACTGGTACAACCTGGGAGTAAATTCAGTACACTAACCTATCATTTACTGTAACAAAATTGTTCTACCTTTAACAGAGGTCATGGGAAGGCTCCAGTCACTTGGATATAATTACTGTATTTTAGAAAATGGAATAACATCAAGTTATATCCTCTCTTTTCAAGGGGCATTTGAACTATTTGCTCACTATCTACAGTAATGGAGGAGCAGGGATATCTGAATGGTATTATCTTATATATCATAAATATCAATGACAAACTTGTGTGACAGCTTAGCCGTTGATACAATACAAAACTGCCGCACAGATATATCAAAACCAGTTTTAAAACTCAAGTAAATATATCAAGTAGCCTGCTATTTCTAAACCAAACAACTTTTAAAGTTTCAACTGCAATAACATCACTTATTCATTTATAATGTAAAAATGCAGAAAACATTGCATCTAAACAGGTATGAAACAAATTTGACAACATTCAGGTATGTAAAATTATGACTGAGGGAAATTTAATTCAACTGAAGTTGTAATCCTGTTGATGTAATTTATTTAAATTACAAGTAGTTTTAACGCTTGGATATGCATGAACAAGAAACTGAACTTTGTCAACTTGGTTGAGACACTAGCATGGACTGATATATACAAGCCTGGAGCTATTTAACTAACAATCTGTTAAAACTGTATTATTTAACCAACCCTCTAATCATGTAATATCCGAACACCAAACTTCAACAGTTACGGATTTTCCTTAAACTATAATACAAAATGTTTTGTGTACACTATAAAAATGTAACCTAAAAACAGGACATCAAAAAATGGTACATCTCTATAAAACAATCACAATGTTTTCTTGTTTTTCAAATGTCAAATGATTATAAAAAAAAGTTTATATGATAGAAAGTAGGAGTGATCAATTTAAAATCTAACTTGGTCAATCTTTAAAATACACAAAGAGATATTTCATTTGCTGTACGTGATAAACAGATACGGAAATGTTAATTGTTTATATTATAAAAAAAATCAACAGTTTGACCGATGGACTTGGTGAATCAACCATCACATATATTGTCGTCATCAATATACAAATGACTAAGCTTCCTAGACAAGATTTAAATGTTGACATAAATTCTTTGAAATGTGAAGCGATCTTATTCATAGACATCTTTTCCATTTTAAATGGAGACATTAAATCATGAAATGTTAAGAGTATGTTTATCAAAAGCTAGCTCATAACTTCCTTCTACCCTATACTCTACCACAATGGCATTGTATTATGTACAAGTCTGTTTTGTTGATTATAAATAAGGCATAAAACCTGCAAGATATTAGATCAAGGTAAATCCCCCTTCAATTTTAAGAAATACAACTTTTTATAATTTATTATTCAGGCTCACATTTACGATGATGCAAATGCAAAGTGTTGTTTATTTATATTTGTAATTGTATGATCGGGAAGATATATATATACAAGCAAACATGAGACAATAATGTTAGATAGAAGATAGCAAATCAATTCTGTTCAGCTAAAGTGAATTCTGCTGTATTACACTTCTCATAAATCATAAAAAGTGTCATTTATAGTTTAGTATGGCGCTTACATTCTACTTGATTGTTATTTGTAATGGTATTTGTAACATTCCAGCGCACAATTATTGTATCTCCTCGATTATTTCATACAAGATACAACTATCCTATACTTAACATTTGTTTTACATATATGTTAAACAGAATACTTTATAAACAAACATCCATGTAGGTGGAAAATTATGATTAAGACATAACATACAAATTGATATTTTTCATATCTACATAAAACTTGCATGTATTGGGGTTGTATTAATTTAGACACTAGTTGTATTGTTATAAAACAGTAGAATAATTATATAATATTTTAACCACAAAATTTTATTGTTTATCACAAATGAGTTATTACCACACCTCAACTTACAGCAACATTTCTTACAATAAAAACATCTGTCAATAATTCGCTAGTGAGCATACATGTATATAAAACCACAGTTCAGTTCTTACATAAATCATGTGTTATACATTTTAAAATCATGCACAGATTTAGCTCACGTATTAAGATACAATTCTTCCATTAGTCATCAGGCCAGTATAGCTGTTATTAAACCTTTTTTCATCACTCTCATTGCTATTCAAGGATAATCTGTCACCAGGAAAATTAAGAATATGTTAATGTTATCCTCTTTTATCAAATAAAATTGTTGCCAACATACAATGGTGTTGCCCAGAAACCTCAGCAGTCTGATATCTAGATATTGATCTGAATGGAGAAATAGTTTAATGTTTCACTTGTTACAGGGATTATATATTGTCAGTAATCATTCAGTATGCATGCTTCCAAATATCACATCGAAATTCCGCCCACACTGAAAAAACTCCAACTGTTTTTGAATTAATTTATTGGTTTTGATGGGATTAAAATTATGTCACACAGACCTTTCATGCACATTATTTAAGGCACAGTCAAGGCACCCAAGACTAACCGACCCTCCATTAACTAGATCAATAGTTTTTACTCCCATGAAAAAATCCAAGTCCCTCACAGGATTCGAACACACAGTGGTGAGGCATGTAATCTGCAGTTAACTACCATAACCACTTGGCACTTAGACAACATGAAAGTCTTTGAAATGTTTCAATATATTTTTGTTTTCTGTCTGTACATTATTTATGCTCTAACAACCATAAAAAAGAAAATATTTCATGAACAGGAACTGTCAGCTATCCCAAAAATACTTAATCCCACATGATTAATTTTTCTAAAAGGTAAATCAAAGCAGGAGTGCACTTAGTGTGGGTGCCCTAATGAGATGACAAGTATTTACTTTATATACTATAAGCCATGAAAAAGTCTGGTATCCTGCTGTATGAAATATTAGGTTAACAATTTCTGCCTTTTTTCCCAATAAATAATAAACCAAAATGAATACAAAGCCCAAAATTGTAAAGTTACAATAATATTTCCCTGGTTTAAAGGGATGATTCTATGATAAGAAATAATGTTTTGCTATCCAACATAAAAATATTTTGCTGACCTAAAAATACTATTTAGCTTACGCAGAATTTACCCAGGTCTTTTACAAATGTTTGTATGAATGAATGAATGGAGGTACTCCAGTGTATAACCAGACTACCTGTATTGGGTTGTCCTCAAGATCAATATCTTTATATATCAACACTATATAACACAATATTATGTTTCACTTGACTAATGAAGCAGTTCTTCAATCTGTAAAATCATTCAAAAAGTTTTAAGTGATCAAGGTAAACCGTTGTATAGAGAGACATTAATGCTAAAACGTTGCATGTTTATGAGACCTTGAAGTGTTAAAAACATTTTACTCGAAACTTTCATTACGTTTTACAAACATGTTAGAAGGTTTATTGTGAAAAATGTTTTGGGATTGAGCTAAGACTTCCTGATTTGCTATAAAGAAATTTGGAAAAACAGTTTTTGTGCATTTATTTGCCTGGCACTATACCAAGTAATTTTACAAGTAAGGTGCATTTCGAGATAAACAGTTTACTTCTTAGTATATTACTACACACCAGGACAATCTTATCATAGTTATAAATTGAACTATATGTCAGAAAACTAGTGACTAATGGCAAGATTAAATACTATTTTAGTTTGTTATGTCAATAAAATTTTAACTTATAACATTTTAGCAAGGAAATTAAAGCACCAGCAACACTGTTCAGCAAAGAAGTATGCAGAAATACATTCCTAGCAGAGGTACTCGCCTCATAATTAAAGCCCGGAAATAGTTCTAGACTGTGAAGTGGTATGGTAAAGAGTTCCCTTCCTGTACAGTACAGAGACTGTAATCAAACACTTGCATATTGTAGAACCTTTAAGTCTGATTATGATTGCCAATTTGATTTCCTTATTGACTGTGATAGGGTCAAAAATAAAACAAATCAGTGCTTAAATTAACCAGCAAAATTATGAACTTTTCCTTCAAGAAACAATAGGATAATGACCATTTCATACTTGATTCAATAGGTGAAAACATTCCACCTATCCCGTAAATCTATTAAGTATGCCTCATTAATTTTGTTATAAAAAAGTCACAATGATATATATTATAGGTTAAAAAACAAAAAGTTTCAGGATCTAACATCACATAATTATAATTTATATTATACTGAAGTTGAGGGGGCTACAAGTTGACACCACACTGAAATCTGTCATCCACAACAGATTCATTGTTGTACATAATTTAACACAAGTCAGTAAGCATGAAGTCAGATAATCCTCCTGTCAAAATAACAAAACTATTCAATGTAAGGTTACAATCCCTCTATACTGTCAGGTCCTACTAAGCTTAACACCAATCTTCAATTCTAATGGGTCCTTCTTTGACTTGGTTTTATAACATACATCCTTGCCCCATGTTTTAATTTAGCTTAAATGATAAAGACTTATTTGCATATAAACAAATTTGGCACCATAAATCATAAGACTCTTCAGAGAGTTGTAAATATATTCATGACCAACATAAAATATCTCAACAACTTGAACCAAAGTGAAAACCTAATTAAATATAGCAGGTTGTTTTCAGTATACCACCCGAATTCAAGTATCAACATTTTCCTCTGTCTAAACATAATAATGAAACTCCAGACACTAAAATTGAAACATCTTCAAATCACAAGAGCTTTAGACAGCAGTTGTGTGTTTATCTTCCACATACAGGAGAATCATGCAGAGTTTGGCACTGTTCACAAATGCCAAGCTAATTGTCTTAGAACCAACATTCATCTTGCAACATTTTGTTTTCTTCAATGGCACTCCAGTAAATACCTTGTCAAAACTAGTTCAAACTTACTAAGATCATTCCGCTACAATACCCTACCTTGACCTTACCAAACAAAAACATAAACAAATCATTATCTTTTTGAGAATGAGGTGTCAAAAATAATTCAGCAGCGAATATTCATATGAGGACAAGGACTGGGCCAGTATCCAACAATTCTAACAAGGAACAACACTTCACCTGTAAGTAGATGGATCATCACATAAATGTAATGAACTAAAGGTAGTTATATTTATTCCAAGATAAGTTTACCTTTTTGTTGAGCTTGAGCCATGTTGAGTAGCCTTTTGTGTCTATATACTGTAGTCCGAAAAACCAGATTTCTCTAAGGCCGATTGTTTTCACAACCTGTAACATACAGATAAATATATTAATGTTGGGACAGAGAACAGTAGTTAACGCGTAGTATTTCAAAAAGAATAAATCAGGTTTGTTCAAGTAATTAAAACTACGTAATATATATAGAAAGTAATTTTAAAGGTTATCTTAAATCATTTGAAAAAAATCAACAAGAATGCACAAGTTGATAAAAATCTGGCATAAAAATACCATATTCATAACAATCAATCTGAATAAAATGTTTCATAAAATTTAAATTAAGACTGCAATGTTTTGAGTTAGACTTGAGTACTTGTGATGAGATATTTATTAGCAATAATGAAATAGTTTACCTGATCAAAGAGCTGTTTGCCTGTAGTATTTGGCTGTATGGCAAACTCCAGCTCCGCGTCCATGGTAGTGACGCGCACATTCACCTGTAATTATACATTACAATAAGTCTTACACTAATTAATGGTAAGAGGGTTAAACAGATGTCTTACACTAATTAATTGTACGAGGACTAAACAGATGTCTTACACTAATTAATGGTATGAGGACTAAACAGATGTCTTACACTTATTAATGGTATGAGGACTAAACAGATGTCTTACACTTATTAATGGTATGAGGACTACTAAACAGATGTCTTACACTTATTAATGGTATGAGGACTAAATAAATGTCTTACACTTATTAATGGTATGAAGACTACTAAAGAGATGTCTTACACTTATTAATGGTATGAGGACTACTAAACAGATGTCTTACACTTATTAATGGTATGAGGACTAAATAAATGTCTTACATTA